TACTGAATGATCCTTCAGTCTGTCTGTGATAGAAGTCTTCAATTGCTTCTTAGTGCTCACAGTACAGTCCCCTTCAACAACTGACTCGACATCCCTCGCCCCTGATTTTTGTCCGCCCTCCTTGGAGATGACCACCATCCCACTTCTCCCCATCAATAAACAAAACCTCACAATACGGAATCTCAAGTACTCCCTCAGTCCCATCAGGCGTCAGAATCTCCGCCTCCAGTACCCCTTCTCTCCCCTGCCGATCATCATCATCATTCCCATCACCACCACCCTCAACCACAACGACGGCCCCGTACTCACCCCCCTTCCCATCCCTCCACCTCGCCTCAGCCCTCCTCAGATCCCCCAACTGCGGCTCGAACCGCCACCTTCCCCACCCAACAACCTCAAGCCCGACAACCTTGAAGCTAAGAGCCTGCGTCGGCCCCGTAGACCAGCTGTGCGAGAGCGAAGTATACGCCGCGTCGTAGTTATACCCCCGCTGCGAGCGGTAATACAACGACCCGTTGGCGCTCATCCCCTCCACGAGCGTGGTGCCCGTCATGAGCGGGGAGTCGAGCATGTAGCCCCACGTGCGGCGCATCAGCCGTAGCCCGCGACGGGGTTTCCGCGCGGTGAAATGCGCGAGGACTTCGATGGAGGAGATAAAGGGGGAGATTGTGTCCGGTAGCTCGGGCGTGACGGGCCCGATGGCGTTCCAGTTGCGTAGTAGTGCTGCGGAGAGGGAGGAGGCTTGGGCGGGGGATGTGGTGAGGTTATATTGCAAGGCCAGCGCGTTGCCGTCCTGAGGGAAGAGGAGCGCTCCCGCGGCGGTCTCGTTGTCGCGGTACTGCGAGGCGGAGGCGTCCCAGAGGACGGCATTGTACGCTGTCTTGAGCTTCGCTGCCGCGGCCGCCCACGTTGTTGCCTGCTCTCCGCGGTCGTTGGAGTCTGTCGCCGTGTCGGCGGCAAGGCTGGCGAGGGAAGAGAGGGCATGGTAGTTCAAGGCGTTGAGGGCGCTGTTGTACCCTCCCCCGCCGAAACGAGCCCAGTCGTTTGTCTCGACTTGCTCTGCAAGGCCTATGCCGTTGCTGGCGTCGATGGCGCGGAGGATATAACTCGCGCCCGCTGTGATGTTCCCCCACCGGCCGTCAACCCACGCTTCGTCGCGAGTGAAAATCGCGTAGTTAAAGCAAGCGATCAATGTCCAAGCATGATACGTATCGCTCTTCGCGCCCCGTCTCCAAGAGCCAGTCGTCGGGCCCGCGAAGGGTAACTGACCCGTAGAAGCATTCTGGTAAAGGAACATGGTCTCCAGAGCAAAGAACACCGACTCCAACCCGGCATCGCCGAGACCTAGGTACGCCGTCGTGCCCGCGATGCCCAAGTCGCCCGGCCAGACTGCGCGGTCTCGCTTCGCGCCGTCGAGGAGCATGGGGCCCTCGACGCCGAGGGTCGCGTTGTAGGCCCAGCCTGGTTTAACTTGAGGTAGCCAGCGGGATGTGTTGGGGGGCGCGATGTTGGTTTGGGCTGTGAAGACGCCGGCGTGCCAGATGCGGGTTAGGAGGTCGTCGTCTGGGGTATGGAAGTGGCCTGCCCAGAGGGAGGGGTTTGGTTGGGATGGGGAGTAGGCTAGGTGGCAGATGATCGAGGTGATTGTTACGGAGCGGAAGGCGTGGAGGGTCAGGTATTTGAAGCCGCCGCGGAAGCGTTCTTTGGGCATGGTGTAGGCGTAGGGGGTTGTTGAAGAGGAAGCGGGGATTGTGACGTTAAGGGCCTTGTCGTAGTCTTGAGTTGGTGTTGCGCCTGTATCGTCTGAGATCTCACGGACAAAGGAGGGTGATTCAGCGAAGGCGAGAGAGAAGTGCGGCTCTGATGAGTTACTGGGTGATGATGATGTATTGTTGGATTCTGCCATCATGGAGAGGAGACCGCCGACGTAGCCAAAGTCCAGGGATACTTGACCTCCTGGCTGGAGGGTGAGGACGAAGCTCCCGTCATCGGCGGAGGTCGTCACGTTCGCGGGCCCGGAGACGGCGTGGATCCGTTGAGGGAGGACGGTCCGGGTGGACGGGCTGTTGATGTAAGCTTCCCATGGCCGAGCTGGATTCGGGCCCGTAGTGCTGGCCGTTGAGACAAGTAGAGCGGATGAGGAGAAAAGGAGGAGCGCAAAGTGGAGGAGGCGTGCCATCATTGGGGCCATCTTGAGCAGAGGACGGCGAGGTCGCAGGGAGGTGGGTGTTCCATTGTGATGTCGTGCCGGACGGCGGCTCTATGTGGTTTTCTTATTTCAACAACATGACGGAGCGAGTGAGTGTTTCTTGGCATGCGATCCCGTTCTGGTAGGTCAGGCTTGTGTAAGTCGGCGATGTGGAAGAATTTCCCCGCGTACTCGTGTTAGCGAGATTGACGGGGGTGAATGTCGGGGTAAATCTGAAGCGAGGCGGCGAGCGTTTGCCCGGGATGCGGAGGCGGGGTTGGCGAGAGAGACGATCGCAACTCCAGATCACTGCTAGGGTTTATGTATTCCCTGTCGATCTTCTGCGTTGTACGTTTGACTTGGGTCCTGATCCCAAGGCCTGGAGGCAATAAAACATGTAGAACCTTTTCTCGTGCTAAGTGATCAATCGTACGTCTACACCGTTATCAACCCTACTTTGGGGATTGAGTGTTCTTGGCAAGAGGCTATGATGGTTTCCGAGACGCGAAGACAAGGCAGTGGATAGTCCATCTGTCGATTGCGAAAGTGACCGCAATATCCGAGAGGGACCTGTCTATGACAGCTGCTTTCCGGATCAAAGAAGTGAAATTTATCTTGAGGCTCCTGCGTTGACCCCAAGCTTCGACGCTGTTCTCATGGAGACGCCTCAAGTGAGTCTGTCTCGGCCTCTGAACCAGAAGCTGTTAGTCGGCGGCACCTAGTTTGAACTCATTGCCGTATGAGTCAAGGTCTATACGCGCGGAAAAATTCCTCATAGCTGTCGCGCTTCTGATACGTCCTCCTTACCATCGGCATAGTCGACGTCCTCCTCGTATCCATCGAGAGCCTGGCCTTTGACGCGAGGTAGATAGCTATAAATGTGATCTCTCACGGCATCGTCAATTCTCAGAGCAACTATTTCATGCTTTCCGGACCATCCAGCTGCCCTGATCCATCGACTTCCTTTGATAACGGGCAGGTAATGCGTTTGCCCGGCCGGATCTAACACCTCAGTCCTCGTATATCAGCGGGAAGAACATCTATATGAACAGCTGCAAACTTGCATCTATGCTACAATCTTCTGGCAGGGTCAATGAGGTATTGAATGCCCTTGTCATGAAACTTGGCCGCAGTCACAGTAACTACACGGCATGGGCAGTGCGACTCATCCTCAGGTAATTCGCTATACCATGGCATCAACCCATATTCTATACGTCCGTCTTCTTCCCTCGCGCTTTATCGATCGGCAAGGGTCTATATCCCGCAGAGTACTCGAAATCCCACGTTAAGAAGAGAGAGCCAGGGACTGCTGAGAATTTAGGCCTCAAGGGGATGATGAGGTGATGTACGACCCATGAAGTCGAACGCTTGGATAGTATCGTCGCGAAGCCCACACTCATTTCTGGTCTATCAGAGACCAGGGAGTAGAACACCTCTAATAAGACAATAGCAACAGAACTAATGTACGACACTGTGTGCCGTCTTCTCGCCCTCTCGCCCTCGTCTCTGAGCACATAGTGTTCGAGATCACTTAGACAAGCCTTCTAAGTCCACACGATCCATCAAGATATGCTACTAATGTGGAAGGTACATGATAGGCATCCGTCATATACAACGCCCTAGTGATGCCGCTCCCTATAAAGAGCACCCGACATCATGGAATCAAAGCCGTAGCCTAGAAACTGTGGTAACGACCATGGTAGTACCGCGGGAATGCTAGGAAACCGCACAAGAGCATACTGGACAAAGAAACTAACAGCTCCTTGAGCCCAACCATTGCATCACTTTAACGCAAATTTCACTTTCACATAATAAGAACCGCTCATCTCCCGTCTTAAACACGATCTCTCACGAATACGTGAACGAGGACTGACGAGGCAAAGAGATAGATTACGTTCTTTCAGCTACTGGCCTTCAGGTGTGTGAACACCCGCCTAGCGAGCTAAAGGTGTCACCCTCGATGATGCAGAAATCAAGAAGAGCGAATGGAAGTAAAGAAAGCACGAGCCGATACCTCCTCAAATTAGAATTCCATTCCAGTCGACGATGCGAGGACTGCATCGATCGATAAAGACTACAGCCGACGTCTAACGATGGGCAAGGAGTCAAGTGTAAACTCCATAATGTGGAGCTTACGTTGCTGCCCAGGGCGAAAGGTTCTCACTTAAGAAGAGATATCGTCAAACTACATCATCTACGATGGCCTCACACCAAACACCAGATTCTTAAGAGAAAGGAACGCAGAGACCCAAGTTCATGAGAACCACCCCTACGGATGTCTCAAACGATCAGTCTCAGCTCACCCTGTCCGCGAAGACGAGGTATCTCACTTAAAGCCAAGCACTTCCAACATCCCGGCGCCGTCGTAAGCCCTAAGGCAAACCAAACATCGACATCCGTCAATGCGACAACCCAAAGGAACGGACAAGCTACGCATAAGCCAGGTAGCCGGCGCCCTCAAAACCCGCCGCTAGACAAATCGACGGCGTCATCACGGTCTCTCACTAATGTCAACAAACTCAGAATATTCCGTCGTCCGTGCTCTACGAGGGATCTAGCCCCAGTAAGCCATCGACGTAAAAGCTCAAGTAAGACTGCCGTCGTGCCGCGTCCTGCGCGGCTTCATCTAAATGAAAAGCATCGCAATTGGAAAATTGAAAAGGGGTAAATCGATAGCATCGAAAGACGAGAGACGAATGACGAGGTGATATGCTCTAGAGAGTCCAACGAAACAAACATCAGCCAGTCTAGTCCTTGGTCAGCTCTTCTCAATCAAGCCACGCCGTAGAGCTGCAGGGCCCAGAATCCTCTCATGGCGCGGCATACTCTCACCATTCGACCGTATAGAAAATCGTTCCCAACCAACGAAGTAAAAGCCTGCAAGAACTATTCGATTCGTAGCTGCCAGATACCAACGCTCCACTTGGAGCTGTCAGTTTGAGTTCAGCCGGACTCTCTGTGAGGTCAAAAGGACTTCTCACCCAACAAGCGTGTGCCGAGTTGGTGGTTCTGGTGACGTTAGTTCCCGAGCAAGCTCTGTTCGCCCTGGGGTCTCCAAGAAGCCTGTGCGCAGAAGGGTAAGGGGAGTCTCGACACCACAGGCTGCGTCGCTGTAGAAAGTTCTGTCGAGGCGATTGGGGGAAAACCAGTTCATCAAGTAGTCAAGCTGCCAACGCATCAAGCTCTGGGGCCAGCTGATTGTTAGTTAGCCAGCCCCAATGTCTCAGCACAGCCCAGCCTTCCCGCGAGACCCCAAAACGGCCTCTTGGACTTTTAGTACGAAGCCCGGCGCGCTTTCTAGCGCCGGGGTGTGTGGTCCTTTGGTTTCCCGCCATCGCGCCAATCCCGCGTCTATGGGAAATACGCCGGGCGCCACTTGTGGATGACGGGTGCGGGCGGAAGGGCAATTTCTTCGCTTTGGCTCCTTCGTCTGTGCGGCCACCCGTCCAACGACGACAGATTCGGATGATGCCAAAGTAAATATGAAAACTCTGGACCTCCTCTCCTCCAACAACCGCCGTGACGGACGTGAAGGAGTGTGAAAGCTGTGGGCGCTCGCACCTAGCCTTCATCACGTTACTCACTAGACTCAGAGTGCAGTCTGCGCACCCCTGCTGTCTCATCGGACCCAAGCCAATGGAAATGCCGAAACCCCTGTCTACTTGAATAGGCCCCTGGTCGCGGGATCTTTGGCGGCTACGATTGGAGGGGGAACAGGGGCCACAGGTGGGCTCGTCGTTGGTTCCAGTCCTGGAAGCGAGCGAAGACCCCGGGTGACTTCATCATTGCTCGGGCTCGCTCCTAGAGACCGTCGACTTGTGACTCGATATCCGTGTCAATATGGTGGATTTATTTTGTTGGAACATTGAAAATCCAGATGCTGCGTTGTCTTCGGAGTCAGCGAGACGATCCTGGCTTCACCGCCGCAAGTACCGGTGACATGGCGATGGATGTAGACTGGCGACCGTGCAAAACCCAGAGATCTGCGATTCCCCAAGACCGGGAGCAAGCCACAGAAGCAAACGGGTGCAAGGGTATCTGTGAGTGGCACAGACTCATAAATTGCAACCGAAAGCCGCGCTCCGTTGGCACTGAGCCACCCGAGACCCGCTTCGCCGGACTCGAGTGCCACGTCACCAGCCTCACGACCCAGTGATGGCATGAGATCCGGATGAGGCGTGTGGCGGAGTGCAGGTTTTGCAGGTTTTGCATGCTCGTTTGCGGGCTGGTTGCCTCACCACAGTACCTTTCAGCGCCACCAAAGACGCCGTTGCGGAATTGCTCCTGCACCTCTGGCAGGGCCGCCGTCTCGCTTCGGCAGCAACTTGGCCTTGACCTTGCGGCATACGACGCAGCCGCAATCGCAACCCATTTACGGATACTAGGCCTTGGTTTAGTCCAGTTTAGACGCGGCCAGCGCATAATAGTCGCCACAGTCGAGCTGCAGGTTTCAGCTGCTCTGGTATGGCCGCTGTGTCTCCATTTGCGCTTGTCGTTACTGAGCATGTTGCCTGAAGGATCATGGCTCCTTGAGCTGCAAATCCCGTGATCCCAGTCGACCAGTACTCATAGAGAGCCTTCGATGCCGCGTTTGATTTGGTTGGCCGATTGTATCGCCCAGATACCGCGCCGCTTTGGTTATCGGTTGAGGGGTCGACCTAGCCTCTAGGCCATGGGGGAGAAGGCCATGTTGCTATTCTCGTCGTATCCTGCATGCCGCAAATCATGCACCCAATGTTGGTTAGAAGCCGATTGCTGGCCTGGCGACATGCGGATTTTGATGGTAAGCTCGTCGAGTATTCCTTGTTGGCGTTTCTTTTGGACATCATGATTGTTTATGCTGCCCATTATCCGTGCCGTGCTCGTCAATGTGTGCGACAGGAGTTGTCATTTTCCTTGCAAGCGTAGGCTCCGAGACATTGGCAGCCCGTTGCGGGGGAAACGTTCGGGGCTGGCCTAAAAGTCAAGATGAGATATCATCTCTGACTAAGACTCATGACGCCAGTATCATCTCTTTTCAGCATAATCATCTTGAAAGAGACATTCGGTCGTGGAGTCAAAGTAGACGATTGGTAATGGACCGTTTCCGGGAGATGCGGGTAAGGAGAGACATGCATGAGGGGGAAATGGACTTTCAGGGACCAAAGTTTTGGTGGTGGGAGATTGTGATGGGTCAACCAGGTGATTGGCCCAAATTGTCCATTAAAAGGCCAATGAAGGACGGGGAGAGGGATCGCGCCCCTTCCTGCCCAGAAGTCCATTTCGAATAGAGCCAATCATACAATTGAGAATGCTCCAGACCCCGGACGAGGAGAATAGCAATACTCCTCTTCCAATAGTGGTTGGATGCTATACGCGGCCGACGGGGGCGATGGTCGTTGCTCGAGCGGATCTGGGCTTTGAATGAGACAATATCAAACTCTAGTTTGCCTTGGAACAAGGGCCTTGAAGATGGGTTGGAGCGTTGCACTGTCTGCGAATGGAAGACTTCCAAATGTCTTCCATCACCAGACTGCCGTATCGAGCCGACTCTCACCCCCAAGTCACCCCACGGATAGGCAGGCTGTGAAGCTGACTCTGCGGGCAACGGGCCGTATCAGACGACCGGGTCGTGGGTGAGATTGCAAGGACGGCGGGCCACTGGTGAGCGTATCATTCCCTGTTGTGCCGGAGAATATAACAATTGGGAGAATAGTTCGAATCCGCCTGTCCACCTTGCCCGGATCTTTGGGGACTATCTTGGATAAAGGAGGCTTCGAGGGTGTGCCGTACCATTCATCTCCTATTAGCTTAGTAGGCCGAGGGTCCGGTTCACCAAGTTTGACGACACCCTCAATGAATCCTAAGTCGACTTACGAACAGACGTGAAAGCGCGTCTGATTGTTGGTGGCGCTTCCTGGTCGTTGGTTCGACGACGCGTCGTTGAGGCTTTTCGCTGCAGTCATCTATCATGGCCATGTATGGCGTCCAGTAGAAGTTTGCTACTACCTCGCCGCGGGGTCCTGCGTCGATCCTCCTGCGAGCGTCTCGATCGCGTTGCTTTGAGGACTGAACGTTCCAACCGATGTTTCCCTGTTGGTTTTCTCGAGGAGTAGGCCCGGAGAGTCGAGAGCAAATCAACTTGGTGCCGCAAAGCCCGTCAAGCCGGTTCAGTAACATTCTCTGTGATTAGGGGCAGAGTATGTTTGTTGATAGATGATAGATGGCATGAAAAGTCGATGATAGTCTCTCGGTACGATTGTGAGCTTGGTCTGTGTCTCTTTCGAGGCTTGTGCCCGCCCGAGCCGTCCACACCATCTCGAGGGTCGAGGGAATTCTAGCCGAAGAAAGCTCATGGTCATCAAGGATGAAGCGCCGAGGCAATCTGGAGATGTCGCCAAACAAGCGCCGGGCATTGGAGGAAGGGTGGGGCGTATGTGACAAGCGTAGCGGTAGCGTGGGCGATCAACAGGGAGGGTGGCACGAGAGCGAGACATGCAGAAACCTGTCCTCTCGGACAGCGTGAAAGTGAGACATGCAGTGGATCATTGATGGATGACATGTTGACGAGAGTTGACGACGCTGGTGAATCAAGCGGTTCTGAATTGTCTTGCTCGGTAGCAGGCGGTTGGACGGTAATAGTCTTCAGACACGGTGGAGCGAGACGCAGGGGAAAGGCAAGATAGAACAGAGGCAGGTACTTTATCGAGAGGCAGATACGAAGCCACAACGAGGCCTGGTTGAACGTGTGAGGGCTCCCATCCGGCACTTGTCGAGTGGACAAAGTGGATCGCATTGTTACGTAGAGTTAGGAATGACCAGGTGTCGAGAGGCTATGGGGGAGCCTAGGGTTGGGAATGAGTGGATAATGTGAAGCGTTGATACCGTAATGTGTAATGTATGGATATCGCTCTGTGTGTAGGCAGTCTGAGCGTTTTGGGCTCGAAAGCACAAAAGGCATGGCAAGAAAACGTGGTGGAGGAGAGTCAAGGTCGAGAAGAAGAAAAAAAGACATGGATCGAGAGGCGACCGTTGGCCCCGCCTCACTCCACGGGCCACACTGACCAGTGACACGGACCACTAGGTGACTGAGGTGCACGTTCCAACTAAGCTGAGCCGTCTTGACCCGCAAGTACGTACCGACAGCCGCTGCGCTAGATCCAGGTTGGGGCAGGTGCATTCAAGACCCACTTTCTGGGCCGTCTGTCTGCTCCCTGGTCCTTCCTGCTGCTCCAGCCAGTGCTCCTTCGTCTTCGGTCGCCATCGATGCTTCCCGTCCAAGTCGCTTCTTTCCCTCCCATCGTCGGGTCACGGGGTATCTCCTTCCATTCCCTCCACCGTTCCTTCCAACAAACCAACTCCCAAATCTGAGGTTTTTCTGTGAGGGAAGGCACTTACCGGTACTATATCTTGCAACATCATTGGGCCCTCTTACCACTCGCGGTCATTGTCCCGTTTTCTCATCGATCCTGGGTCAATGTCCACCCGCCATCGCTGTTTCCCATTCGCAACGTGAAATTGTCAACCAAACACGACCAGTCTCTGTGCGCCGCAATTCATTCGACAGTGACATCCAGCGTCACCCCTGCCTTCCTCCGTCGATAACAGCAAACTTATTACTTTTGCCTTCTTACTCATACGACCAGGCCTGACTTTTCTACGGTACACTCCTGTCCGGTCTCGTCCTCTGATCTTTCTCACTCGTTCATGGCGGGGCGGGCCATCCCCCGTGTGCCCTCGGTCGCTGTCGCTCCAAGGGCATTCCCAGCCGCCAGCTTTGGGCGTTTGCCTCCCCGCCATCTCAACTTCTCAACTCAAGCTCGTCCAGTGTACTGCGTAAGTGTCGCCGAGACTCGAGACTTATTCCCGCCCCGAGTCCCGTGCCCTCCAACCCAAACGAAACTACACTACACCGTAACGTGCACACTACCGCCCTCGCCGTCGGTGAGCTCGTGGGGTAAGGTACCGAGTAGCGCATGCCAACTGGCGGTAAGCACAGCCATCCTGCTCGCCTAATTTTGAGTCACACGTTCAGTTTCCGGTTCTTCCCATGACGGCACTTCAACGATGATATTCCTCTCGGTTTTCAAAAACAGCATCAAGATCGAATTCGACGTGCCGGCAAAAGTCTGTTTCCCCCCTTGGAGCCCCCTCTCCAGTCTTCTTCCCCCCTCCCCAAAAGGCAAAAGGACCAGCATCCCAGAATCCCAGACGATGCAAAGGACCCCGAAAGCGGACAAGGGCACGACAAGGGTTTGCGGCCCAATGACAACGTCGAGTGGCCTTGTCAAGGCTCTTTACTGTTGCCATAGGACGAGCCGTGTATGCAGAGTCCAGGGCGAAAAAAAGCTACCCGCATGGCGGCGCAGTTGCCGTACGGAGTACGCAGTACCTAGTAGCCAGCTTTGCGCCTCATCTCATGGCTGTTGATGCCAGGCGTCTCTCGAGTCCCCGACGTACTACAATTTTTTCTCGTCATTTCTGGCCCATCAGGTAGTAACGGGTAATAGGTAGGCGACCCAGCTAAGGTATCTCTTTCACGACCATTTTGCCATTTTTGAGTCTTGACCCCTCCACCTACTCTCCGTACCCTGTACACATCGGCCTCTCATCGTCTTGCGTGCCTTTCTCAGCATTTTACCCTCTCGTCTTGGCTCCTAGCCAAAGTCTCTAGCCCCTCTTTCGCACTTCGAGTCCCATCTGTATCCGTATCCCTCTCTAAGGTGTCTTGAAATACTCCCCAGCGGAGCCCGGAGCCCCCCCTATGCAACGCATCTGCACACTCCTCAGGTTGTTTCCACCGCGACAGGAGTTCGCATATTGATGTTCACCCAGCTCCCCCTTTCCGTCTTTTCCAGGCGTGCCGGGGGCTCTTGTAGTTTCTCTTTGCGTTTCCTCCATCTGTCAGGATGAGTCAACATAGCAATTGGCCCAAATTGCTGTATGATCTGCTCCCTCCTGCGCGCGCTCCCTGTCAATGGCTGCCCAATCCCGAAGCGCCGTGCTCGGCGGTTGCAGCAGCTCACCTGACTTGAGCCCATGATGCGCAATTCTTGACCGCCGCAAGACTATGGCGTAGGAGAAATGTAGTATGTAAGTGTGGCCTGCGTAGGTATTGCACACCCCGACATAGGTATTGCGAGAGCACAGCCAGCCCGATATTCCAGAGACAAGGGTCCTGGAGCCATACGTAGGTAAAGACGAAGAAGAAACTAGCATCCAACATCTCATCTATTCGCACAGATACCTAGATGGATGCAGATGCAGCGATGCGAGAGATGGGATACTTTTCGTAGTACGTACACTCATACGCCCCAAGAAAAGGTAGGTACCTTATCTTTGGTTGGGTACTTCCATTGGGTTCCACCCCAGACCCCCCCCTTGGTGTGCGTGTGTGCCTCGCATTCCCATCCTGGTACATCGTGCAGAACGTACTGCTCCTGTCCCGCCGTCTGCACTCTTGCTGCTAGTCATACCCCTGCTCGCTGGACCCGGCCGCCGTTGTCCATTCACGTTGTTCCAGTAGCCTGGAAAGCAACAAGCAAAGTGCAAGATACTTTACCTGGATAAAGGTATTTCGCAAGAGGTAGATGGCATGCCCTGAAGTGGTGAGTGCCTACCCCGACGTATATACAATCCGATGTTGCCTTCTTTTGGCTTCGCCTTGGCTACCTACCTTATTGCTACGTAGCTGTAGCTTCCATCTCTCTTTCTTTTCTTATTTTTGCCTCATCCCAGTGCTCCTTGTTCCTTGTCAAGCCCTCTTGCCACGCTGCTTCACCTTGGATCTATCTACCCGTCGTCTCCCATCTCCATATTCCTATCCGCCCACCCTCATTCTCACTCATCCATCTCCGCATCTCGACTCACAACTTGTCTCGACGACAGCTCCCACTTAGCAAACCGGCGCATCACGGTCTGACTTGACTGTCTTGCCACGAAACGACATATCACTCTTAACCTCTCTTGTCACCGTCATCCCTCTGTCACAAGAAGAGGGCTGGCCATCTCTTCTCAGCGGCGCCAAGGTACTATCTATCTGCCTCTCTGTCTGCCTGTCTAGACTCTAGGCGCGGCCTTTTCCCCCACCATCTTTGAGACCCCTCTGAACCCCTCCACCACCACTACAGCCATCCCGACCGAATCGGCTCTCCCACGGCAGCCGCGCAACCTCGCACCACCCCACCACTTCACACCCTCACTATCGCAACCCGGAAACCATCCCCCTTCTTCCGCGCCAGCCTTCCTTGTAAACAATTTTTTCTTCTCTCTCCTCACTTCTGGTTACGACCGTTCCGAGAGAATCATAACTTCACATCTGCTGTGCCGCCCTTAATCATCCATCTTTCCCATATAACACTTCCCTACAGTTCTTGGCCAGGCCTAATCTGAAGTCCCAGATCAAGGAACCCACCCCTCTGGGACCATCATCTGTATCTCTATCTTTCTGTTAGTCGGCCGCGTCCGAAACCAGTATTCGTTCTCTGGCCTGCGAACTTCGTTCTGACCTGTCTCACAGCATTAGTCCCTCGGAAACACCACGTCGGATCAATATCGAATTTCGACCGAGGTTGAATCACCAGGTTACTCTCGCCGCCGCCTCTTTGCCTCTGAGAGCCCCATAGCTGACTTCAAGCCAGACCTGTAGACATAATTGTGGCAAAGACATGAGATAGTAAGGTTGCTGGATTATGGTGGACAGGCCCAGAGGTTTTCTCTCAAACCCGGGATATCATGGCAACCCGCCGCGCGGCGTTAGGCTTGCCGAGCCGCCCAGATGAACAGATACGAGCGAGAAGAGCCGCTGCCGCCGGATACATCGAACAGAGCGAGGACTCGCAGAGCACCCCTCGGAGGATCCGCAGAGAAGGAGAAAACATCCGGATCGCCATTCAACAACCGGTGCAGACCAAACCTGCGTCGATGCCCTCGACGGCCTCCTCGCGGCGACCATCCATTCCGATGCCTTCTACCCGGCCACCTTTGACCCATCAGACCCAGTCATGGAGTTCTAACAGCACGGCTGCCGAAAGACCCAGCCATGCTCCCACCATGTCTGGCTCATCAACATCTGGCCAGTCTCAGTCGAGCGTTGCCAAGCCGAAACGCAACGTACTGCGGAGAAAGCAGTCGTCTGTCACCCCAAAGACACCCAGCCTACGTCACGATTCGAACAACACCGATTCAACTCGAGGAAGCTCATCTTCTTCAGCCCCACGATCCCGGTCTTCTCTGGAACCCGCCCCCTATCACCTTGACCGCGGCATAACCGAGAGCCCAACCGAGATTCGCATTGCACACGTTATCGATCTGCCCAAGACCCAGGCGCAACCTGTAACGATTTATCCCGAGCTTGATCGATATAGAGAGATCTATGGACGACCCTCCACGTCTTCCGAGGGATCCAGCGTTGATTTCCTCCACAGGCTGGCTACGCACGACCTCCCACCCCCGACTCCCGTCTTCTCCGGCACCAGCAGCCAGTTGAGTGCTTTCAGTGGCAGCCCTTCCACTAGATTCTCTGAGTCAACTAGCCCGGGTCCATACAGCCGTGATACCACTCCCACCTCCATGTCGTCACAATCGCCAGGACTGGTGGTTCCGATGCGACTTCCTGTGCCCAGAGTGAGGCAAGTGAGTCCGGCAGTAACACGGCCACCAGTCGCCCGGAGAAGAGCCGGCAGCATACCGAATGAGATGGAAGCGTTTAGCGCCGACCCCCAAGGGCTTGCCGCGGTACGCGAGTCTTTGACATCGTCATCGTCAAACTCGACAGTTCGAGAAGGAGACCGCAAAGAGTCCAAAAAGAAGAAGAGGTTGTCGCCTCTACCTCCTAGCCCACCGCCACGGAAGTCGTCCCAGAAGTTTACCAAGGATCAAGACGATGACGAGTCTCCATTCAAGGCCTCACGAGAGCCGGCTGTGCCAGTCATGGCAGCCCCGTCACCCGTTCAATCCCCCCCACGACGGATACCAGCTGCTTCACCCAGGGCAACCCCCCCTGCTCGTCCCAGCCGAGACAACACCCCGGACCTGCAATCCCAGCTGTTTGGTCCCTTGCCCATCATCCACAGCAATCTATCCTCATCTTCCTTGTTAGGCGACAAACGTGGACCGGAGCTGCAGCCATTGTCGCGATCAACGACTCCCCTATCATACCCAGACAACCCTCAGCAAACCTCCCGTTTGCCGGTTGGTAGGGAGGCTACACCAGCCCCGCGCTCAGCAAATGCCGTGGACACGAAGAAGAAGAACGACGGAACCGTCACTCGTACCCCGAGCCCCGGTACATCGACCTTTTCTCGGTTTCCCTTCTTTGGGAGGCGCTCCAAAACAGCGCCGGAGGTTCCTCAAGTCGACAAGAAGGACAAACCGGCTCGTAAGGGGCCAGCCGCCGGCACTGGGCATGAAGGTTACGGACGCCTGGGTGGTCTCCGAAGACGAAGTGGAAGTTCATCGACCAACTTGGCCCGCCCTAGTCTAGGACCCGGTTCCTCTCAAGACAGCCTCAGCAGCAACCAGCCAACTGATCCTTTCCTCCTGGAGCGGATGAACCCCGTCATCATTTCCGGCGGAGGACTCGTCGACAACAGAAATAATAGCGTAGACTTGGTCCGTTCAGAGAGCTATCAGAGCCTTGGATACGCCTCTGAGGTGTCCACAACTTCCAGCATTGGGCGTAGCCTAGCCCCATCAGCCATTCCTCGAGGTGGTCCTCATCCCTCCCTCAGTCGTCGCCGTCCCTCCGACAGTAGCGATTCCGAGGCAGTGACTATGAAGCCCACGCTAGCGTTCAGGCGATCCGTTCAGCGTTTGCGTTCGTCTCCTGACCAGAGTCCACTGAAGCTCCCTCAGCCCATCAACACCACTGGGATTACGTCGCCGTCGATTAACAGCCATGATACAAGCATTCTTACGGATGATTCGCAATTCGAAATGCATAGGGAGGTCATTCGTGGCCGCATTGCCGCAGCCACTGCGACAACACCGAAGAAGCTCACCAAGCGTACACGCTCTCCAAGGAAGTGGAATCTCTTCAGCCGATCCCAGAGCCAGCCGAACACCAAGAAGTCAGGGAAGGATGCTGTGCCAGTGGCTGCAACCGTGAAAGTAGTACAGCACAAGCCAGCTGCCTTCTACACTCTGATGGACGGTTCCGAGCAGGAAGACATTGGTACTCCAGACGTCGAGGAGATTCTTCGCGAGGCTGAAGTCTTCGATCTTCCATCCCCTCCGCCTGTTCTAAAAGAAAGACGAACATCCTCTGCAAGTCAGACCAACAGAAGAGAATCCTTGAGCAGGCTTTTACAGCCAACCAAGTCATCGCAAGCTCGGAGAAACTCGGCGACCGCAAAGTCAACTTCAATCCCAGCGATTCGGTCCATGAAGCCTACCCACACACCTCAGTCTAGTGTTTCGAAGCCAGCTGAACCACGCCCAAGTCGCCTGCCTCAAGTTGGCCGTATTCCCAAGGTCGTGACCTCTCGTCCAGAGCACACCTCGTCGAGAAGCTTCTCTCGTCCTTTCAACAGAATCAGCATGCAGATACCGCCGCAAGCCGCAAGCTTCAACCCGGATTTCGTTGCTTCGGGTGCGACTCCAACCCCAGAGCTATCCACGCCCGAACTGTCTCGTGGAGAATCTACGGCGACTAGCGACAAGACCAACTCGGACCCTCGCTCTTCTCTTGTTCCCGTCAAGACGCCTGAGATGATCCAAATCGGTAGAGAGTTTCTGGCGTTTTCTCCTCGAAAGAACTCTGAGTGCACCACAAGCACTGATTCCAGCAGTTTGGGCATGTACACACTTGCAGATGCCATGGCTTATGTGCCCGATCCGAATGCACCTCTTGTTGAGGACGAGATTTGGGATGAGTACAACGATCTAATCGGCGACGTACCGCCGTCTGCGACATCATCAAAGGGCGCCCCGTTCCATCTCGAGACCCACGGCTCGCGAATGTCAAAGAGGTCTTTGAAGCCTCTCGAATCTCCTACCATTGCGCCGCCATCAAAGACTCTGGAGAAGAACGTCGAGGTCGAAGCGGGCGCTACAACGTCTAGTGTCTATTCCGCCGATATGACCGAGCGTCTCAAGGCTGCCTTTGCGTTGAAGCCTGAGGGAGAAATCCTTGTACCTGTTGGCGAGATCCCTGCTAGAGTCATTGACCGCGAGAGCACTGAGCTAGCACGTAAGGCGACGGCCGCGTCTCAGAGAAGTAGCAGCTCGTCTCGCAGATCAAGACAGTCCGACTGCAGCTACAAGTCTTCCGAGGATGAGTCGCCGCTCTCTCAAGTCAACCTTCGTGTCGGTTCGATGACGGTCAGCAAGTGGTTGTCTTTTGGTCATGTGCTCTTCAGCCCAGCCCGGGACCAGCTTCTGGACGTTGTCGGCTCGCTGAAGCGTCACTCCATTCTCGTTGTCGATGGCCTTGGTAACGATGACTGGTCGTTCTACGCGGCAGAGACATACCCTGCTGCTACCTTCTTCAACCTGTCACCCCGCGCGCCGTTGCCAGAGGAGCATAAGAACTCGTCAAGCTTCCCATTGAGCCCGCCAAACCACCATCAGATTCAGTACCTCTCTCAGATGGACAAGTTCCCCTTTGGCGCAGAGAGCTTCACCTCGGTGGTCTTCCGTTTCCCTGCAGCCGCGCCTGAGTCTCACTATCGGAACATTGTTTCGGAAGCACGTCGAGTTCTCAAGCCGGGTGGCTACCTGGAGCTCTCGATCCTTGACGTTGATCTTAACAACATGGGCAACCGAGGTAGGCGTACTGTCCGCCGACTGAAAGAACGTATCCATGTGAACAACTCGGAAGTCAGCATTGGCTCGTCCTCCGACCTCATTCTGCGCCTCCTCGGGCGCAAGGGATTTTCCGATGTCAAGAACTGCCGCGTCGGCGTGCCAGTGGCGAGCGTGGTGACTCGGTCGGAGAGCGGCAGCAAGAAGCCACCCGTCGCTGGCGCCCGGAAGGCTAAGGAAGTTCGCAGCCTTGCCGAGATGATGAACGAGGACGGCGATTCCGCCGATGAGAATATCACCAAGATGGTGGCCAAGGTGGGCCGATGGTGGTACAGCCGCTGCTATGAGAGTGCAGCTGGGACCATCAGCAAGAGCATCTGGTCTGATCGTGCTTTGCTTTCTGAGTGCGAGGAGCTGCGAACAAGCTTCAAGCTCATGGTTTGCTACGCACGTGTACCGGATAGGGCGCGAACCGCAAGTATCTGAGTCTTTCAAGTCTCTTCATTCCTTGTTTGCTTCAGCCTGGTTTCCTTACTATCCTCATTTCCTACCACAACGTACATGACCTATTCCAACGTATCTCTATTACAAGGGCATCATTATGGAAGATTCGGAACGGAAGAGGAAGCATCGCAAGATCCAAGAGGGCGCGAGCCCATGATCGACTCTACCCCACAGTGGCTGAGTCTTTCCCCCTTTTATACAACGAAGCAGAGCAGCCGGTGAACACAGCACGGCGTTTGCGAGAGGGCTCATCTAAACCATTCATCCTTGGCTGAGTGGGCATGGATAGTCCTTTCATCATCCCTTACTATCATATTTCTTTACCATCTATACGCAAGCCATCACTGGCGAAGTATGTAACACATAGTATTGGGTCTTGAAATCCGTGGTCCTGTATTTGTCGACTGGCTGTGCCATGGCGGAAACGCCTCTTTCTCTTCTCTCATCCATCACTTTCACCACAAAAGCAAATGGCGCGATATTAATATTCTCTTTCTACAACCTCATCAGCGATAGGACACTCTTTGGGAGCGGATTAGCAAGGAAAGCTGGACAGGACTAAACTTGGAACACAGTATGGGTATGAATAATGTGATGGCTGGGCCGTTGCGCTTCTCTTTTGGGTTGTCTCTCTTTCTTTCTCGCTCAATCGGAGCGTTGGGTTTTGGGACGTGGTATCATGGCAAGCAACGAAATGAGAGAGACAGAGGATGGGAAGCGTGGTGGCTCGAGGCCCAACAGGAGAGGAGGAAATTGGTAACGAGAGTACGGCATGATGAATCATGTTGGATGTCTGGACTGTCCTTGAAGCGTTTTGCATGGCACGAGATACCCCAATCTTTTAGTAGCGGAAATGAAACGATCTGATTCTAACTTTGTGTCTCTTCCTTGTGATCTTTACCGTGTAGCATCTCAACAGTTCCAGTGTTGTTCAGATGAAGAGTGTCACCTGCCCAGCGCATTTGAGACCAACGGCTCTTGCAGGCCGTGACCCATGGTTTCCATCTCACCACGGGTTCATAAGGTCGTGGTTCCCATTCCTGAATAATATGACGCAGCTAGCCCACCTGGGCTACTTACCTCTCTCCCATATCCAGAGTCCAATCTTCAGAGAATGCAGATTCCGCCTCGGAGAACGCTTGGCAACAGGTCTTGTGGTGCCTTCCCTCCGTACCTGGTTGTCTCTCCAACCGGTAGACACGCCTGTTTTCCCAGTTGAAAGATCCCAAGCGAAATGACAACGGGAGTGCTTGCCTTTGGTGATTTAGCTTCCCCAATGAGCTGCTGCTGCTACTGCTCCAACACCGTCTTGGAGAACAGGATGCAAGAACTAGTGTTTGGTATGCTCGCCGAGGGGAAATATAAACCCTCTCCCTTCCTCGCCCGAGCTGACGTCCGTCTTTTTCTTCTCTTCAAATTCACAGACACCATGTCGTCCTTCATCATTTTCCTGGCTTCTGCTTTGGCTGATGTTCCTGGAAGCAGATCAGCATCGAGACACGGTTCGCTGCGAGTAAGAACTTCATTATTCTCTGGAATCAAATTTCCTGACATCCAAACTTCGTCATGTAAACACAGCCGTGGGACTTCGGAATTTTAAGATGGTTCTTGGGAGTGTGGCTCTGTTGTTCAATATTGGGCCATCACGCGAAGTTGGTCGAGAGGAGAGATCCCTCCAAGTGGCAGAATATGACAGGCGTCCCAGGTCAGAACAACGGGCTCAAACTATCTGTATTCAGCTCACGTGAGTTTATTCAGTAGGTAGTTCACATACACACTCATCCATAGCATCGTCTCCACATTCATAGGAACTCGAAGGTGAAGGAAGCCCCCTAGCCCACGAGACTTGTTTGGTCGACACTGTGAATCAGACGCGTCTGTTGTTTTTCCTCGCCCCAGGCGTTGCAAAGGTCTTCTCAATACTTCACCTCTTCACGCTGGACCGCGCCCACACTTGCCTTCTTCCATTCACAGGCTTTCTACCTCCCTTATTCACCCGCCTTAATCAAGACTCCCAAACAACCACCGCGTTTCTTCCCCTCTTAATCTCGGGCCCATGAAGGCTTCTTTTCTCCTTTCCAAATTCCACTCTCCTATTCATTGTGTCCCTTGCGACTCATCCCTCGACCGCTTCTTCCTTCTCGACCGAGTGCCGCCGGAACACACATCATCGCAACTCGATCGCCTCTTCAGCCATCCTTACCTGCTCATCTTTCATCGTCCGTCATCTCACTGCGAAGATGAGCTCCCACAGCATCCCCAAGCGCAATGCCACCGGGGCATTTGCGACCCCAATCGATCCGCCTCAGCTTCGCGCTCACCCTCGCGCCCATCAACAGCAGGACGGCAACGAGCATCTCATTAATGAGACTGCCAAGATGGCAAAGAGGCTCAACGAGAGCCCCTCCCAGACCCAATGCGTCTTTGGCAATGAAGACATTGTCCCCGGCACCAGCATTGCTGGCGTCTCCGGTCGTCTTGGCGATCCCAAACTTGCTTCGATGCGGAAGATGGTCCTCGACTCGGTTCCTGAGGGAAGTCAGGTCAAAATCATCTATCTCATCACCAAGGTAAGCCATCTCATCTCATACCATCTCACCAAGCCTCACCACCTTCCATTACTACCATATTCACGCGTGATGCCGCTGCTAATGATAAATAAAGGAGAATGAGAACAACGACCTCCGAGCTGGAACTGCCAACAATGCCGCTGCTACACAAGCTGGACCTTCCGAGGTGGGCCGCTTTGTTCAACAGAACAATGCGGTTCAGGACCGCACTCGCGCCCAGGTCCACCAGCACAGACAGGGTGAGGACCATGATGAAGAGGATGAAGATGTCTCCCTGCGGCCTAGAAAGCGTCGCCGAGCTTCCTGCCGAGTCTCTCCTCTTCATATATCGCCTAGAGGCCTCAAGACCGAGCAAGAGGACGAGGAGGAAAGTGAGAAGCAGATCAAGGAAGAGGTCGACGATGAGTTCAAGGAAGAGGTCGATGATGAGGTCAAGGAAGAGGTTGATGATGAGGCTCTCTTCTTTGCAGCACCCGACGAAGTCATCAATCGCAGCTTCTCTAGCACGCACGCCATGCACAGAACGACTCCCTCCCTCTATGGTCTTCCTTCTGGAAATATCTTACCGTCATCGACTCGAACCGCTCAGCATATCAACCCCTCTGATGATAACGATGACGGTGACGAGGACGACGGCGAGGAACCAGTGCAAGTCAGATACACTGGAGGTTACTTTGATAACTTTTTCGCCGCGTATGATGCCGCCTTCTCCGCTGAGGATTCTTATCCCTATCTCCGGAGCTTGGATGATCTCGACTTCCCCGGACTGCGTTAATTAGAGCGATTGAGTACAATGGAGAGAGTATCACCAGCACTCACCAGCCTAGAGATACGCAAGAAGGTCTCAAGAGAAGCACTTGTGGAACAGGACTTCTTTGGTCTGCGGGTATTGATTTGCCTTTGAACGGGCAGACGAGTGCTCTGGGCTTTCTGAAGGTTGTTTAACAAGGAAGACATGGAGTCAATGGGACAGAGAGTTTGTTGGTCACTACGTGTAGTATTAGAACAAGAGGATGATGAGAAGGGCTTGTACATGTATCTAAAGAAGCTACAAGCTACCGTAGTTCACCCAGAGCTTGTAATCCTTTCATGGACAGTGCTTTGAGTGAACCTCTTTCGACCTAGACTATAAAGAGAGAGTCCTGTTTGTAGGTCGTCAATTCAATCACCTGACGTTGCCAAGTGTGGTGCCTGTTGCGTGCAGCATCCGAATGCTGCCAGGGTAACGATACACCTTAGGACCTGGCGAATACGTGTTGCTGGTACCGTAAATAGGTGCAGTCCAAGACTTGTCATTGGGGGACTTGTATGAACCGTAGTCATACCAAGCACGGATGGTGAGTCTGTCGGGGTCGGGACCAAGTATGATTGAATAGTCTATTAGACAGCGTGAACAATGGCCATTCACTTCGATTCCCGGCTGATTGACTGCCAATTTGATGGCTTTGCCAAATTCCGTGGGGGGGCCAACCCCGGATTCAGATCCACCGATGTGCTGACAGATTCTCTCTGAAACTTGCCAAATTCCAAGGCCCTGCTGATAACTCAGTGCCCGCTGAGTATATAGTATGAACCTACCGGCTATAACTTTTGGCGCGGCGTGAAAAGAAGTCTTGGTCTTTTGACCCGGAGAAGGGGCATACTCGAAGGTAAACGGTGACATGATCTTCTTCAAATACTCCTGGTTGGCGGCTGTTTCGAGTCGCATAAGCTTGAGTGCGAGTTGAACATGGCTCTCTCGAATGTCGAAACGGGATAAGAAACATGCTCTATTTGTGTCATATGGGCAAGTACGCAGCAGATGCCAAGGTATGTCGTTCGTATCAATGCGATGGAGCAGGTGGCAGCCTCCGCAGACCCAGTGGTTGGGTGAGGTGAATGCCAAACCAGCCAAAAAGTCTAGTTTTTGACTGACGGCAAGGCAAGTGAACAGCAGCCTCCAGTCTTTCTGGAGGAGAATTTGCATGTCTTTGCAGGTTTGACGCAAAATGAACTGGTCGTGCAGTTCAAGAAAGCTGATGATGTGAAACAGCATCTCATTCGGAAGCTTCAAGAAACTCGGTACCGTGTATGTCTGCGGTTGAACCCGGTGAGCTGGATCCTTCGCAAGCGCCTTCACCCTCTTCAAAGCCCTCCGGACCAAAACGCGGCCCAGAAACAATCGCCGTACCACGCTTCCTTCCCTATCCCTCGCGGGACCAAATCGGCCTCGCAGGGCCCGCACGACACCTCGCAGGCTACAGTCATCCTCCGCAGCAGCAGTCGCCCGCGCGGCGGACAGCACGCTCGCGTCAACTGTTGCATGGACCCAGTTCCACACGGTTCGGTACTCCTTTCTGATATCGTCGCGCTCGACGACAGCTTCATAGTACTCTGCAAGACGTGCTTTAAACTCCTCACGAATGTCGTCGCGGGTGACTGCCGCTGGCGCAGGCGGCAGGGGCTGCTGAGGAGACCCGCGCGTCCTTGCCCGATAGGCCGCTTGTAACTCTCGGAAATACTGCTTTTTGAGTCGGTCCTGTCGCCATGAAATCAGCTCATCAATCTTTGGGATGTAGAAGATCCGCTGTGCGGGATCCGAGGCGTTGGGTGGTGCCGTGGGGTCGATGTATTCCCAGATGTCATGTTGATGGGCCTGGAATTTTAGCTGTATCAGCCATGAAGGCCAATCCTTGCGATGTCTTAAGCGTGCCGTAGTCGGACTTTCAGTCTTCATGGTGAAGGTTTGCGCAGTGGTACTAGACTGTGTGTTGTTCAAGAGAAGAGTTCAAGTAAGTGATGCTTTGGAAAGAGCTGGCCACGATTCGCTTCGTTTTGGCGAGGAACGCAGGCCTTTATAGATTTGGCGACCATTCTCACGAGGTCCTTGGGAACCTTGACGGAAAGGTTGGGTGCAGTATGGGGATGACTGAACTTAGCCGAAAGGGACGTCAAGGTTGGAAAGTCAAAAGAGGGAAAGGAGAAGGGGTGTTGTCATCTGTAGATGTGAGATGTGCTATTCCCAAATAACACAATCATCCCATCTATACCGTGATTAATCTCATACTTTGCGTCTTGTCTAAGCTTTGGCTTCTGTTCAAGTCAAGGTAGACACACAGAGAGCAGGCAATGCAACTGCTTAACCTCCTTCCTCATAAAGACGTCGCTGCGTCCAGCGCTAAACTCCTCGCAATTTTGCCTTCAATACGAATCACAGGTCGGCGTCTTTCCCACTGCAAACTCAAGTCGATGTGGGAAGCAACGTTGCCTGGCTCTGATTTCTTTCGTTGACTGGACACCCTCTGGCTGGCTGGCCATCAAGTGTCCCCGCCGGAGCTGGCTCCGGTGAGCAGGCAAGTACTCTGGTCCGTGCACTGCACCTGGATGACTGTGAAGAACATTTCTCAAGACGTCAAGGCGTCTGAACTGGGAGTGCAGACTGTAGAAGAGGTTGCCCTTGCGCTCAACAACCAGATCTTCTCAAGCACATTTAATCCTATTCATGTGCAATTTGCACAGGTGCAGCGAGTCTGCTTGTGTACGACCAAAGCTGCCTATGTACAATGAATCCTGCTCATGTGCAACCTATGAGGTAGGCCTACCTACCAGGCTCCCCCGGAGGACGGGAAACATCAGGATGCGCCCGTTGTGACAGAGACAGCTATCCTTCGTGGGGCAGTGGCATTCTTTTTCGCTATCTCCACCCGTAGTCCATGATTCATACCGGAAAGCCATACGCTCATCAGAGGGGTTCTATGCAAAGGTTGACTTCTATCGCGTAGACGCCGATGATCAGCCCATGGTTGAACAACTAAACAAGCTATGTTATACATTCACATTACTACCCCTGTTTAGCTCAGGGGGGACATTACTTGAGACCGAGAAAGACCCTGCCTGCCCTGCTTTGGTGTGCTGCCAGATATTGGGCATGATAGACGAGCGTGATTAGACAATAAGAGAAGGAATCGATTGGTGAAATTAAGAACTGGATGTATAAACGTTCAAAAGGCTTGCTCGGTCTCTTGTTTTATGCGCGAGTAATGTGTTACTGCGATCATGGCGTCTTTAGATAGATTCATTGAATTGAATCGACACAAGCAGATCAGCTTTCTGCGTCTGCATGGTTGCAAGTGTTAACAGGTGTACGACACAGGGAAGAAGCTCTCAGAAGCCAACTGCTGTTAGGGTTTAGAAGATAAATTACTGAAATCTGCCCTTCCCTCGAAGTGTACTCTCAGCGCTCTATAAGAAGATGAATTACTGAAATCTGCCCTTCCCTCGGAGTGTACCCTCAGCGCTCTATATATACCTGAGCTGCTCCTTTGTTGCTTGGTCCTCCTCTCAGTGCCCTCATGCTATCCCCTATCCGGCGAGGCCTGACAGCAAGGTTCGGGATGACGAAGTCTACTATCAGATCCAGCCACAACCAAACCTAGTCCGCTACCTAGAATGCAATAGGGCAACTTTCACTTAGGAGTTTTTACCGGCGTTGATTAATACGTCGAGTGGTGAATCCGATCCCACAGTTGTTGTTGGCCGTGCTGTTCTCCGCAAGGTAGTTTGGCCCTCTTGGCTGTCAAGGTGTTTTCCCTCCTGTCCAGCTTCCGGTCCTTCCGGCGGTCTTTCCGGCGTCTTAGGCTTCTTTGGTCCAACTGAACCACCAGTCCTATGTTCTTGTACAAGAATGTTTGGACGGTCTTGTGGGCTACTACCATCACTAGAGCCTGGCTTTGGAAATGCTCCTAAGGCTTTTTTTTCCCATCAGAACCTGTCAGTTTATCCACATAAGATTTTAGGTAAAGAGGTACAGACGCACCGCTTGCTGCTACGAATGCAGTTAAGAGCAAGTTGCAAATCTTCATTGTGTTGAATGCTCCTGGTCAAAGAGCGGAGTGTTGGATTGTGATGTTGGAAGAGCTTTCACATTTTCAATATGGCGGGAGGACCGTGTTTATATAAGAATTTGGCGTCTGGTAAATCTTTATTACGGCGGCTGCGGTGTTGTATCACTTCAAATGGGACACTATGTCAGAGAGCCTTGCGCAAAAGAAGATCCAATCTGAGCCCGGTTCCAGAGACAGTGCCTTTCTTTGCTGATGTAGACTAACAGCCGAGCGGCTCTGTATGTGTGTTGATTCGCTCTCCGCGGCAAGGCAGAGTCTCTGGTGTCGAGAGGCATTTAATAGGATAGAGATGAATTGTTGCGAAACTCTAGGTTTGGCTGCGTTGTGCCCGATATTCAATCTCTTGCCGTTTGTGGCCCACACGTAGAATTCTGGGAACCCTCTCAACCTAGCCACTGGTTGAAACTAGCTGGACATCTTTCAGGTCGGCGGCTCCTGAGGGCTGTTACTGGCTTGTCTGCTGGGCTGAAGCATGACTGAATCCGGGGCTTAGAGGATTCGTCACCAAGCTCTCGAAAGCCCAAAACCAACGAAAGGATTTTCCAAGATTCGGCAAGTACAGTTATCCGGTACCCCAGAAATTCTCTGGCTTTATTGGTGATAACATGAAGTAGCTTAAGCATCAGGCAGATCTTCACTAGAGTGTGCTTGGCTTCGACGCCTGGGTCCCACATCAGACAGGGCGCATTTTCGTTCAAAGTGGCAAGGACGTGTCACTGTAAAAGTGTAGCACACGAAAGCGCATCAGCCTCCGACTAGGTGAGGGAGTGCTATCACTGACTGGCTGGTCTGCGATGATCGTCCGAGACTTGCAGGTGGGCAGGCCAACCACAGGCCACGACCTCATGACGTCTGCTTGGTTTGCCTGACACCACCACCACATGAGATGGGATGGGGGCCCAATCCTCACTGTTCCATCCGTTATTGTACGCGCGCTAATGCACACGTCGGCATTGCCGTCGTGGTGGCGGAGGTGGCTTCGTCATCTACTCTGCCGCCGCCAACTCGCCTCCTACATAGAGCTGCCAGCAATGATATCAAAACGATCAGGAGTTCCCATAGCGACGGTCGTATCTAGTGGAAATAGCAGAAGCATGGGTACTTTTATTAAATGAGCAAGATGAAGTCGGCGGCTCGTAGTTAAGATCAAGATCTGAAAAGAGGAGTAAAAATTTCGTAATATAAAGCTATTAATTTCAACTATAAGTTGATAAAGAGGTTAAGTAAACTATATAATCTTTCTTATCCCTTTAGGGTCTAGCCCACCTTATTAATGGCTATTCTTATCTCTGTAAATGAACTAATTTATTGAAATTAATATCGAGTCTTTATTATATAATAAACTTTATTTAGTTGCACTTTTATGACAGAGACTTGCGGTAATGGTATCCACCCCGCAACACTATTCAGATCGATTCATATACGTGGAGGTATGAAGTGAAAACCCTGGCATACATGAATGACGGGCTCTTGAAACCCGAGTGGTACGATCGAATGGTTTCGGCATGCTGTTGAGCTAAACTTAAGCTGGCTGTAGATTGCATTGCTGCAGATATGTACCAGCACCCAGCTAGAACTGGGTGATACGCATAATCTTGATCGGCAGCGAACAACTCGCCATGTTGAGATCACTAGGCGTTCAATATGATTGGCCTTCGTACTAATGGTACTGGATTAATAGGGAAGCCAAAGTCTCTCACTGCTTCAAAGTTGATGGTGTCATGATTCGATCTCTTAATGACAGTACTCTCCGCTCTCCGAATCACAATCTTCAATGCTTGACTCAAAAAGCTTAGAGTGGTCCGGCTCGCGCTCGTGACTGAGGTCCCAGGCCGCCTTCTCGTTCGCCAGCCGCATGAGCGCGTTATAGTCTCTACATACGTGGTTCTGGCCCCAGCCAATGCTCTCCGACCACGATCCCGACTCGCCTTCGAGACTAGTATCGCCCGAGCACAGTATGCTCTGTCGTAGGTACTCGATGCAATGCGCTGTGTGGCCTAACTTGAATGGGTCCCAGTCTGCAAACTCTTGTCGAGAGATACCGAGCCTTGTGGTTATGATTGACTACGGGTTGGTGTCAGCTCTTTTGTGTCCCAGGTAGCAGGGCATTAGGCATTGGGTTATGGCTGCCAGATGCTTACCAAGCAGTGAATTTGATGAAATACGGAGAGAACCCAGCCACTGCGTTTGTCATCTGGGGACAGCACGCCGCTGATGTCTGCTGGTGGGAACTGCACTTTGTATTCTGCACTGCTTTCGTCTGCCACAAAATAGCCTCGACTGACTGTGATGGAAGGTCAGCGATATCCCATGGGTAAACTGAAGCCTTACTTGGATATAGTTGCTGCCAATTCTCGTGTACTTCTTGCATCCTTGTAGCGTTCAGAAGCATCTGTCGGTCCGCATACACGAGATCTGGCCCAAAGCCAGCCGTGTTGCCGAAAGTGACAACTTTCTGGGGAACTAATGGTAATGGCAGTGATTTTTTAGCGATGTTCAAGAAAAGAGGGCAAGCCAGGGGGTTACATACTCACTGGCCCGTAGGGCAATAATCCAGTCCTTGGAAGAACTCTATCATGAATGACGATTCCGCCTAGTATGATGATTCCAACTGCGAGAGCGGCTTCTCCCAATAACCTCCAGACTTGGCGTCTAGGTCCAGCCCGTCGTACTCTGAGAGTCTCATCGGTTAGACTGAGATCCTCAGACGACAAGTCTGATTCATCGCGAAAAGGCTTCTCCCACTTTCCAGGCATAGCTGCGTAATTAGAATGAGGCGAGGAAATTGGGTCAAGGGATGAACGGAGAACAGCAGCTTGCGTTGTGCAAGATAGTTACGGTGAGAGTTGCGAAGCAGTCCCTGTAAGACTGTCAACCATTGTCCTCGATACAGAGATGGCATCTAGAGATGGTGATATTCATCTAAACGTTCACCTCCCTCCGGACCCATGTCGCTTTCGATCCCCGCACCTTGAAGATAGACGTGTGCCGAATCCCGATCGATAGGCAACAGGATCCGGTAAGCTAGCGCATGTAAGAGGATCGAACGCCCGTCTTGGCCAACCAACATGCAGCCGTTCTAGTCGCCAACAACACACAACTAAGCAACATGCAATTTCAAGCATAAATTTGACGGGCTTACTTTTGCCTGAACTGTTGCCATCTTATCAGTATCACAGCTGAAGTTCCGTTTTTTAAGAGCTCACGAAGCTGGATGGGCCCCTCCTGATCCTCTCGATCCCACGAATACCACCTGCCCTCCCGAGCCTTGGCTCGCCTTACTCAGAGCCCAACAGTCATGCACAAATCCCTGCCGCCTCTAGACGCGGCGTGGGACCCGACTCTGCAGACTGACGATGGAGAGGAGTACTGCTGGACGCCGCTACAGCTCGCCGCCAGAAGCGGAGACCTGGACCAAATCCGCGCCATCCTTGCCGCCGACCCGGCGGCCATCAACGAGCCCCCGCACGGGTACTACGGTCAGACGGCCGTCCAGGCTGCATGCATGCACGGCCACGAACAGGCCGTGCAGATGCTTGTCGACGCCGGCGCCGATATCCACTTTTGCGGGGGCAACAACTTCCAAAGGAACGCCTTGCAGATAGCCTGCGGGCACGGCAACGAAAAGGTCGTTGATATCCTGCTCAGCGCGGGGGCCAGAGTCGACGAGGTGTCATTGAAGCCTGTGCCGCATCCTTCGGGGTACAGGTCACCAACAATACCATCGTCGTCGCCGGTTGTCGTGACGCGGTATAACGGAAGAACGGCACTCCAGGCAGCAGCAGAACGAGGACACGAGCATCTCGTCAGTCGACTGCTGCAAATGGGTGCCAACGTGAACGCCCCGCCTTCACCAACGGCGGGGTATACGGCACTGCAAGCCGCAGCGGGCGGCGGCTACTTGGCGATAGTGAAGCTTCTTCTCCAACACGGGGCTGATATCAACGCGGCCTCGGCAAAGTACAAGGGCTACACGGCTCTTCAGGGCGCATGTCTGCGAGGTCATCTCGAGGTCGCCGACCTTCTTCTTCGGGAAGGCGCTGATGTCTACGCCGTGGGAGGAATCTACGGGGATGCAATGGCGTTGCATGCGGCAGCTGAGACAGGTCGAGTGGATGTGATAGAGCGCTTGTTGGCGGCCGGTGCTGATGTGAATGCCTGTAGCTTCAAGGGACGAAGAGGGCAGACTCCGCTGCAGAGCGCTGCGGTTGGAGGTCACGAGGAAGCGATGAGGGTCCTGAGAGATCACGGTGCTGTAGGAAAGACTGGAGGTGGAAGGTTCTTGTTTCCTTGAACTGTCATGTATTGAGCAGAAGCCATGTCATTGTAATGCATGCTACTTGATTGAAGATCGATAGAATATCAACAGATCTCCATTGCCCTCCATAATCTCGAGTAGTCTCTGTCATTGACTAAGACTGCCTAATCTCCGAGTGAGATGATGTCCTCCTCCTTCACCGGAACAATGCCAGCCTTGACAGCGCGGTCTCCCAGAGAAATGATGTCCTCTTCCTTGACTGGCACGATGCCCGCCTTGACTGAGCGGTCTCCCAGAGAAATGATGTCTTCTTCCTTCACTGGCACGATACCGGCCTTCACTGCTCTATCGCCGAGGGAAATGATGTCTTCTTCCTTGACAGGAACAATTCCAGCCTTGACTGCCCTGTCGCCAAGAGAGATGATGTCCTCTTCTTTGACAGGGACGATTCCAGCTTTGACGGAGCGACGTTTGTAGCTGTCTTCAAGAGTCTCGTCCTCGTGGCGTATCTTTGCCACTCCGGCCATGGCGGTTGTGGCAAGGAGGGCGGTGAGGGCGAACGTTAGCTTCATGGTGTAGGAATTATCTGGCGGTAAAGTATGTGAAGTAGTTGTTGTAGTAGTAGTGCTGATCTTTTGATTTGGTAGATTAAAGGTTGTGGCTAAGAAAGATGTCTTGACAGTATCGTATGATCTATTAGACTGAAGAACTGGGACATGCGTATATAATACCATAAGAAGTGTTCGGACGGCCGGGCCACATATTGTCCATATGGACCTTGTTTTGGGACTGCGAGTGAATGCTACCCTGTACTCATCCGAGAATAGCTTGACAATTAGACATATAGCGGAGTATGAGGCGACCCCGAACTGACAAATTGTCGCTCGTGTAGCAATCACCAGTCAGGAATAGCTACTTCCTGGAATATGTCGTTCAGGATCATGCATATTGGCACCCACTGTTCCGCATGTGGAATTAAGTATATTCGCCTATCAACTCTGAACTTTAGATGAATATGAAGAGTCAGCACTAGTGCCCATCTGGTCATATTTCCCTCGAGTGGGACAATGATACGTGCAGCTCACATCCAAAGCCGCTCACCGTTTGGGACTTTGGTCAGTCACGTCATGTTGGCCACCATCTGATGTGCTGTTCTGCCACTGGCGATCTCAAGAAGTTGCCGGATACCCGACTCAAGAGTCACCGAGAAGGACCCATCTGAATGAAAGACCGCTAATTCTGGCTATCTGGTTCCAGTCAAACTTGAAGATGCCAGCCAGAATCTCGAAGCAATCGTCGATTTCAGTTGAGTTCATCTGGTCTGTGCGGTGTTATTGCTGAAGAAATGGAGAGAGTCGGCAACCAATAGAAGGCGCAATTCAAGAGGGGCACATCTGAAAACGGTAATATTTTGGATTAAGCTTCTTAGGTGAGGGTCCCAAGCAGTGCCAAGTCCACCAACGAATCAACGATCCTTTCCCCTGTACTAACTATTCAACCCTCTCACTAAACCATCAGACCCAACCGGCTACTCCTGCAAAACGGCGTCCCGCTTGTGGCAGAGGAAATTGTTGTCCTGGGTATGCTTGGATCCATCCACTGCATGATCATGCGAGTGCAGTGCAGCGTGTGGCCGTACTCGAGCAAATCCTCATCAACAGGCTTATTCTTGATCACAGCGTGATGAAGCCTCCGCCACAGATAAAGGCAGTGATAGATGTGATAATCCCCGCTGGGATACACCTTATCAAACTCTCCTCGTAAGACGAGCTCTGAGGGGTAGACCCTGGTATGCTCCTTGTCCTCGTACCAGGTGAAGTTGACGTACGGCTGCTCGTCCAGCATGCCTTCGAGGGCCGTCTGGTCGAAGCATTCGGGAGCATACCAGCGTGATGCCATGACATCAAAGTGGCAGCCGAGAGCCTTGGCCTCTTGCCAGGTATCGCCGCACTGAGTGCCTGGAGCCTCGATGCCGTCAATCATGGCGACGGTTCCGGCGACTGGTTTGGCATTGTTGGGTTGTTGCGGTGCTGGCCTATGCGTAATCATAGCAACGATCGAAGCACCAATCCCGATGCCAAAGACAAGGCTCAATCCGTTCAGAAAGATCATGAGGAATATGGGGGAGAGGAACCTAGATTTGCGTCTAGATTCGGGGCCATTGTCGCTCTCGTCAAGCTCCTCCTCGATGGAGGACTTGACATCCGGTGTCTGAGAAACTTGGCTGTAATTGTGTTTTGGTGCCATTGGGTTTGTGAAGAAGGAAGATGGCTGGAACCGAAGATTCTATTCGAAGAGCGAACCGAAGGGGCCCCCAGAAGAATAATCACTGATGGCTTAGAACCACGGCTTCGGCATGGGAACTTCGTGGTTCGCGCCATCTTTCTATTCCTGGACATATCATTCGAATCACACAGCACTCGGAAGTCCTTCCAAGTCCCTACTACTGTGTTATCAGCTTCATGTATCTCGGTCCACTCAGCTAGGTGACAGTCCGCATAGCATCAATGATCCTTCCTCCGGGCCCACGACCGACCCTGGTATGTTTGCCAAGTCACCGTGCAGATCACGGAGGGGTTTTTGGACTAACCTGGTAAGCAACTATGCTAGACCCGAAAGCCTATCAACACGTTTGAAACAGACGTAGACCAGCCCCCCTCCTCAAGTGCTTAGACAGATCCTCCCAGGTCGCGATTTCTCACATCAACATCTCCCTCAACCGGAAGTCTTCCAGCATTGGCTTTGACATTGACACTGACCACGCTGAAAATGGCGTCTAAAGAGAAATGGTGAGTCTAAGATGCTTTTTTGAAGAGAATCAAGGGCTAATACAATCATCCAGGCATAGTACACACGACGAAGAGCAGTCTCTCATGGCCGGAAACTCTGACGACGACTCAGTCTCTTCAACTACGGGGTTTCGAAGCCACAGAGCTTCACTATATTGCCGGCTATTCAGGCCGTCAATTTCAACCTTGAAGGACTTGATCTTGATTGCATTCGCAATCTTAGGCTTTGTTAGCCTCCTCCAGTCTCCAATCAACATCCCCTCTCACTTCCTCTCGGAGGGCACCTCAAAACCAGACAACTTGCACGCGCCACCCACAATCACATCTTGTGATTGCGGAAACTCTACTGCCGAAGCAGTCACTTTGGGCTGCAAATATGACTCCCTGGCTGCTGCTTGGCTTCCCGAGCACTGTCGGGACGACGAGCTGACGGCTGAGTTTGAGCGCTCCGGGCCCGGCCCCAACGGCGAGTGGACGTACTGGGCCGATACCGCGCATACCAAAGAGATTAGTGTCGGAGAGATTGCAAAGATGGCGGATAACCAGGAAGAACTGCGGTTCCACATGTCTGGGCACTGGCACGTCCTGCATTGCATTTTCTACTGGAGAAAGGAGCACCGGGCGCGATTCAATGGCAAGATGGTTGAGCCGCGGTCGGACAATGAGAAGCATATCAAGCATTGCGGCAAGATCTTCTTGGACCCGGGATATGGCACTGTGGCTGGAGTAGCGTTGAACACTGATATGGAGTAAGAAGCGAGGATTCCCTTCGATTTAAACGCTTCGCGCACCTTCGCCATGGAGTATGTGACATGTTCTTCAAATCTCTTGAGTTCAGGCAGTTTTCTAGAAACTTTTCACAGATAGATTCAAGTCGATCAAATCCAGCTGAATTTTGAGAGAATTCACTAGTAGGACGCGCATGTCTCATGTTCTGCCTTTGGGTTGGCACTGCCCGCTTTGCCCGCTTCTATATCAATAGGACAAGTCCACATACTACCCGCATACCATGATACCACAAACTGCAACCATCATTCAAGTCTCAACTACATGGCTCCCCAAGCATTAAAACTTCCGTCGCCTACTTGCAAGTATCACCCGCTCAACGATGAGACCGCAACCAACCCATCTGCAAATGCCAAAGCCTACACCACCAGACAGCCAAGCCGGCTTGTATTCGTCTCACTATTCGCAACAGTCACTGTCTTCGGAACTCTACTCCTGATTCTACTATCCCTACATCTACGTCTTCTACAATCAACAGTACCAAGGCAGAAACTCAGCTGCGGCAGGAGCGTCACCGAAGCCCAGCAAGCAGGATGCACCTTTGACCCTCTCGCAAAAGCCTGGCTGCCCGCCGCCTGCCCCCGCTACGGCCTAGCCGAATTCGAAGCGGCAGCGGGCGCAACGCACAACCAATCTCGTTGGCGATACTGGCGGGACCAGGCCGGAGAAGAGGAGCTCAGCATGGAAGACCTCGCATCTCTCGGGGGGAGCGAGAAATGGTGGGGCACGGAGCGGGAACACTTGACGCACTGCGCGTGGATGCTGGTTCGAAAGGCGCGCGCATTTGCCGATGGTGGCAGGGTGGATAAGCTGACGGCGGACTTTGATCACTCCAAGCACTGTACCATGCTTCTGCTGTGGAGGGCGCTGCAGGCTGAGGGGATTGACGAGATGGATACGAGCGGAAACGTTGTGTTTGGAGGATGCTGATGCTTGTCTCTCGGGGGCTAGAAACGGTTGGTAGTTTCGAGGGAAAGTCTAATACAACTGCACGATACAGAACTTTTGCAAAATTCATCACCTCGCATCGGTAAACTCGGCAAAAAAGATGCTTGATAAGTGTTTCTCTTCAGCAGAGTAGGCTATCTGCTATCATCTGATTGGGTTGATGTATCTGTGGTGATTGCAAAGACAACAACCTTGAAGACGGAACTCCGACCCGCCATGTTGGTGCAATCAAGCATTGACTGCATGCATTAGCTCGAGAGGCAAATCACCGCTGTCGCACTGAGGGACTTCTGTTATCGTGATATCGTTGTAGACGGAAATAGTGAGAAAGTATCGAAGACGCGGGTTGGATCAAGTCTTGTGCGAGGATGAGGGGGATGAGTAGGACGAGAAGAAGAGGAGGAGGGGACAGAACAGAGAGTAAGAGTCGTTTTTTGCAGCGGTCGTTGCATTGCCACCATCGTGAACTAGATCTCATAGAGTAGGAACCTAACAACTGAAGAGAACCAATTCACTCAGTTTCTCGTGAGTTCTGCATTTGATTACCTGGTATGCTTCCCGATTGAACTGACACCTTACAAGACGCAACTCCAGTATGACGACGGTTCCTCAAGCCGAATACGACGAGGACGAGCCTTTCCTCGCTGAATCACCGTACACTGGCAAGGAACGGAAACACACAAGGCTCGAATCCGTGAAAAGGGTCCTCGGTCCTTTCCTCATTGGCGTGATCGCCTCATCTATCCTGTGGGCGGTGCCTCTGATCATCAATCGGACATCAGCGGTCACGAATGCCATTGCACCAGCTGCTCCTGTTATTACAAGCTGCGGCGTGTGCCCAGACGAAGCCCGGGCCAGGGGCTGCCATTTCCAGCTCTGGTCATACAGCTGGGTGCCGCACAACTGCTTCGACGTCGACTTACACAACGACTTCATCAAGCTACATGACAAGGAGGACTGGAAATACTATCGCAACAACAGTAGCGAGATAACAGAAGCAGCGAAAATTTCGTCTCTCGAAGAGGTCTCGCTGGATCAGGTCCTTCTTGGGGAGGGCGACGGCCTGTACTCTACCTGGGGCCAGCATTACTGGCACTGCGCGTTTTATCTGCGGCGCTTCTTCCGGGCCACGGGCGGCATCACCAACCGGGATCGGGACGCGCACCACAGCGTGCATTGCCAGGCATGGCTGGCGGATCCGTTTGCGCACGACTGGGGGACGGTGAATATTCACCTGGAAGTGGGATACCACGAGTGCGAAGGGGATGGGCTGCGAGTGCTGGATAGAGAAAACGTCGTGTAAAGCTCCTCGCTGTAGAGACGAATGCAGTGAGGTGCCTGTTTAGTTACTTAGTACGGAATCTTGCTCGTAAAATGACTTAGGAAACCTAATCTGTAATTTGATGAGAACTTCCCGCCATTCATTTTCCAACTGTAATCGCTAGTGTCTTGTGTGATTACTGTCTTTGTCAAACGTTTGCAATCTGTGTAGCATGATCTTGACGTGTCTGTCTGTCTTCTCCCTCTCTCTGCATAGCGGTGCAGGGAAGGCAAATTCAATGGGCGACTTGTATTTGTAGTGGACATCCCCGCTGTATTGTCCCTTAACACTCACTCCCCAGTCTTCGCTGTAAATCCGTCATCATCCGTCCACCACCCAACACAAAGATGATGGACCCAAAGTCCAAGTACTCTCAGCTCCAGAGTAGAGAAGCAGACAACAAAAATTCTGAAGAAGAAACCGTGTATCCAGACATATCAGCAAGACCCTACAGGCTAGCTTCTCTGACCACTCTTCTACTGGTATACTGCTCCTGTACCACGTCACTCATCCTAGCAGCTGTGGCATTCGCTCTCACCTCACCCGACGGTGTTTTCCATCACAAGACACAATCAAGTCCTTTTCAAATTGAGGCAGTCTTTGGTCGGAGTTGGGCTCACATGTCGCTTGATCCCAAGTACGACAGCCTCTGGGAAGATGTTGAAGGAGATTCCGGCTCCATCATATTCAACCTCACAGATCCCGCACAAGGTAGCATGGGTATGAGCGCCACCATCGCCATGTAAGTACACCCTTCCCTTCGATAAAGAACGCACTACAACACGATGCTGACCGATTATTCATACAGGTTTCACCAACTCCATTGCCTCTCCATATTTCGAAACGTCCTGCAAGAAGCCCATCGAGGGGTTGACCCGGGACTAGACTGGAACGACCACGATCACTGGCCGCATTGCCTTGACTATATGCGCAAGGTACCTATTGCCTTAACACTGAGTCCCCATGTAGCTTTTCTGAGCTAACATGCTTCATGTAGAGCATTCTTTGCGCAGCGGATGGTACGATAGAGCAGCAGCCGATTCTGCCCAACGGTACAATCGCGCCTTTCATTGATGGCTCTCAGGATGTTCGGCATTGTGGTGATAACAGGCGTCTGATAAAGCAAATGAAGACGTACGGCAAGACTGTTATAACTAAACCGTTCCCGTAGATACAGCCGGAGTCAAATTTTCATCTCATCCCATTCCCAGGTATGGGAGCCAAGAACACAACCTGCACCCTACCTAGACCATGCGAGATAATTCGAGAACACATCTCCCCTCCTTGTGATCATTGAGAGCATCTACATGACAGACACGCTGGAGCGAAAGCACTCTTACGTCATGACAAACCATGACTCTATGCCAGTGCAGACTCTTGACGAAGATTTGTGCATGACTCTATCATGATTTCGTGAGTTTGAATGTTCCAAGACAGGGCATGGAAGGTATTATGAAATTTGGGCCGGGATTACAAGGTTCCACTGAGAAGAGCTGACTGTGTTCGACAGCGATTCGGCCGAGGACGCAGCTGCCATTACTTGTTCACTTGGTCTCCTTCGTCGCCATGGAATGCTAGCTATTTGGGACGACAGACTACCAATCCCTTTCAACGGCATGGAGACAAAGACCACCATACAACTTTTTATGTGTTCCACCGCATCGTATGCGTTTGGTGAGTAATCGTACAGGGAAGTACACTACAGTAAGGACGTGGGTTTAGAGGGAGGACGGGTCCACTTTTATGCTCGATATGCAGTGGGCAGTAAGGTAGAAGAGGCCAGCAGCTGCGCGGAGTCACTGACTAATGCTGAAGGTATTCATGCAATCCGTCTCCTTGCCATTTGACACAATAGCATCACCCCTGACCACCGACGATGGCTGAAGCCCTAGGCATTGCCTCGGCGCTAATAGCCATAGTCACGGCGACGATACAGACAAGCCAAGCTCTGTACAATACAATTCAAAGCTTTCGAAGTCACCAGCGATCGGTTCAGCAACTCTTGGACGAACTCTCGGCCCTGAAAGAGGTTCTCCGGTCCTTGGACACGCACATCCAGATCGAGGATGACGCGAACTTAGCGTCGCTCAAGACGCCTCTCCTCCAATGTCGTCGAGCTTGTGCTGATTTCGATACGCTGATGATTGAGTGCACCAAGTATTCCGGCCGGCCGAGAACTAGCTTCCGAGGCTGGGTAAAAGTAAGATATATGGAGAGCGATATACACGGCTTCACCAGTATGCTAGCGGGCTATAAATCAACCATAGCTATCGCCCTAGGTGATGCGAATCTGTCAGTCGCTCGTCGAGATATCTCGTGTATTGTGCGTGCTAATGATACGAGGCAGTCGCTCTGCTACGGTCACCATTCAGCTGCTTGGGGAGTACAAAGACATGATTCACAGCACGACACAAGACCTAGAGGATCACCTCGACGATATCAACGAGAAATTGAGCCGTCTTGCTTCCAGCAATGTATCTTCATCCCAGGCAGTAATCACCGACATAGATCGGATCCAGAACGAGAGGGACAGCACAGAGGTCTGCCTTCAGATCTGTGCCAAAGTCCAAGCTCACATCGACACCATGCGCCTTCAACCGATTCCAGGCAGTCCGCCATCTCAAGGAATGTCCTGCCGGGACCTGGGGCACGCGACTGTCATGACTCTATCGACTTTGGACCACTGCAAACAGATGATAGCTGACAACGTGTCGGAGCTGCACCGGCACCAAGATGAGAACAAGAGACGACTGGCACGAGGAACCAGCGAGATTTCTCTGCCCACAGAAACCGACATTCAAAGCTTGAAGAAAGAGCTCGACAGCACTAAAGAATGTTTGGCCATATGCAACGCCGCATCACAAAGAGCAGTCAAGGGGGTCCATGTATTGGAGGACATGAGCACAGGCCATGATGGACAGCAGCTGTTTGTCTCTACTCTGGGGGATCTCTTCAACGTGAAAGGAGCGAGCACAGGCGACAGAGGCATACAATTTGTCGGATCGGTATCAGAAGAGGCACTGCGGATTTTCTTCCAGAGCCAAACGAAAAAATAGAGTTATCAAGGTTCATTAAACACGCCAACTCCCTTCTATGTTGTCGTCGTAGATGGGCCAGAATCTTGTGTAAAGGAGGCCGTCGTCCGTCCTGTCCCTCGAAAAGTCGTTGCAGGAGGGGTATTATGTGGCCGGTCCGTATGTGTTCGATGCGAAACTACCATTTTCCCAAGTTCCTGGACAGACCCCTCGCCCCAAGACCCAACGCATTGGAACGAACTGTCGCCGCCTTCAACGTTCTTGGCATCATACAAGTGATTCTGTGTAGACACCAGGAGCTGTACACCATTTGCGCCAACCTTCAAGTGCTCGAGCTTATGTGTTGGGAGAGTGTTGTTGTCGCGCATGGATTCGCGAGAGTGATCGTCATCGTTTGCCATGTCGACGGCAGGGTCATCGCTGGTGGAAGGAGCAACGGTTTCGTTCATTGGAGTGTTGAAATGCTGATCGGAGAGTATAGATGACAGATTGCCTTCCTCGATTGCTACATGTCCTCTGTCTCCTGCGAATAGTCTTGGGACAAGAACAGTTCAAAGTGGCTGTTGTCCGACGGATGCTATGAGTGTGGACGAAATTACCCCGCACGGAGTCAGCCTGCGCGATGTCTGCCTATCCGCCCCGCGCTTGATGCTCGGATGATGGGCAGCGGTATCCACTTCCTTCTGGTCGTTATGGTCGGCATGCTGTTTATTCTTGGAGGACGGGTACTGGCGGTGTGGTGGTTTCATCGAGACAACTGTATATTTCGGCTGAGCGGCATCCTTCGGTGCTAAATTTCAAACCAATCCGGATGTGAGGCAATCTGCAGACCAGATTTAGTTCGACTGCTGTTGTATTTACGGCCCCATAGAAACCTCTAGAACGTGCGACCGTCGTGATGTCGGCCATGTAACACCAGTCAAATGCGACGTTTCCCGACTATTATGGCTTCAACATTAATCTTACATTCAACTACCTATTGCTGCCACCCCCCCCCCCTAAAACCTTCCCCCCTCCTGTGTCCGTTTTTAACTTCAGCTCATTCGCATCTTATATTTACACTATATTCTCACGGATATCCTAAGTAGTCTAATTCCCTAAACCAAGCCGACCCTTATAAGCAACTCAAGTACTAATACGCGTACGCGTTTCTATAGAGCGGTCCGCTAACCGTCGTTCGCCTAGCCGCACCAATTGAACCGTTCTTCCTCCTTTCCGACGGGAGCGAAGAGAATTTACAAGCATAGCGCACCTTTATACAGCTATTGGTATCAAATCCCTCCCAAAAACATCGCCGAGTGCAAGATGGCATGGCATTAATAGGATATTGAGCTTCGCAAGACTTGCCAACCACCGAAGTAGCAAATACGTAAAATAGGTGCGAACATTATCGAACTCATAATACTTGCGTGTAGAGGTGAGAGACAAAGCTCAATCAAGACCTTCTTTCCCGAGATAATTCCCTTGTCGGACGTAGAGGGAAACGAGGAGACGCATGTAGCTCTCCAGTCTCTGCTCCGACAGCTGACCGCGTGTCGAGAAGCGTAGGTAGATAATGAATAGAGATAGCCGATATGCCCTTCAAAGCAATATTTAAAACATACTATCACATCCAGTCTAGGCAAGAGCCGAGCCAGTCGAGGGTTCTCTTCTGGCTACTATCATTATAAACGTAAGTAAGCATTCATCACGCTAATATTTTCAGCATACCCACTACACCTTAAACCTTCAATCATATCCTCGGTCCCAAATACGTTTTTAGGCGGGTTTCCTTGCTCAGCAATAACCCGTTCACAGGTAGACCTAGGCTTATCAAAATACTGCTCAGTCAATCCTCTGTAGCCGTCTTACTTAAGTTTCTCCCGCTCGGGGCCTTTCTTCTCTGAAAGCTTATGAAACAAGGCATATAATATCAGAAATCCCGGCATAATTTAATACCGTGGAAGCTTCGTATCAAAATTGTAAAGCAACTTACAAAACCATTTGATGGGCATGCTACTTAACTAAAAATGACTATGTCAGGTCAGTTAGGTCACAGTCTTGCGATATGGGTTCATTCATTATTAAACTGCCCCAACTTCCAAGAAAAGCTCTTCAACGGTCAGATCTAGACTACTGATTTGGGACAATCTCGAACAGCACTATTATTGCTGCGAGTGACTTCTCGCTTAATCGTCGTTGTGATCTTCTGAGCTCGTTCAACGTATGATTGGCGCTTGTCGAATTCTAGCGGGTTTCACTGACGGTCTGTATAATTCTAACTGATGCAATCCTAGCATTAATAACTACGTAGCGTTTCACTTTGCGGCTCTTCAGGCGACTATCCAGATCCTTACGAAATATGTATTCGGAGTCTAAAGTGAGATAAGACTGCGAAATGCAATCTCAGACTCCTCCGTCTTGAGTTTATGTGATCACACTTTCTCATCGGTACCTTTGTTGCACGTGCAATTTTTGCAGTGGTGGTTCCCCTTCGTCCTCTTGGGCCATGCCTTCTTGAGATCATTCTCAACCCTTTTCCTATACTCGGTAATCTCGACCGAAAAGATGATCCAGATTAACAAGAGCCCAGTCACCGGAAGGGCAACGCCCCAGTAGACCCAGAAGAGTCTCTCCCCCGCAGCGAAGTCCCCTCCCATCGAGAATATCGCTGAGACTATAGAAAACGGGACAGCAACCGTGGCTAGCTTTGTCAATTGCCCCGCGCTTCGAGCTTGTCGATTGTTTACAAAGAAACGTTGCATATCGGCCCGCTTCGCAAAGTTATCCATGAATGTTTCAAATGTCCTCTCAACCTCTTGCATCATATCGTCGAGTTTGTTCCAACGTCTTTGTTCCATCGCGACTTGTCTTTGGGTGTGATCTATGCCTTGCCAATGTTTCACTGGGCCTTGTCCTTGAGTAGAATCCATGACTGAGCCGAATGTCAAAGCGGTAATGCCAGAATCTGCTCCCCATTGGTCAACGTCGGGGGCAAGGAAGCAATCTCTGATGTCTTTCATGATACGCCTGTGTTTGCGGATGGTGCGTCCCTCGCTGACAATATGCTGGTAGGCCTCGCCGTCGGTATCAAAGTCGCTTTCTAGCCGTTTTACAGCTGCAGCGCTGCTAAAGTCCCTCCATTGAGCTTCGTCATACAAGAGCTCGTCGTAAAGGTCCGACTGATGGCGGCAGGCGAATTCTTCCCAGAGTGAGAAAATGAGGTTTCGGACAGGAACAGTCGCAACAAAGGGATCCCCCAGGCCGGAAATGATATCGAGGTTTTTATCGTATGCCAGGCGAAGGTGATCGTATATCACACAGGCATGTGGAGCGACGAGTGGTGCATCATTGGCGCCGACGATGACCTCCTTGGTGAAATGCAATCGGATGTATCTAATATCCGACAGACTGATCCTGTCCGTCTTCCGTCCTTCCTTCAGCTTTCGAAGGGTTGTCTGCCGGGGATCCACAAGGATAACAACTCCAAGAGAGTATCATTAGATGCGCTCGAGAGACAGGTCTGGGGGTCTGATAACTCACTTGTCCAGCCATCCTTTTCATCCGGCATGCCCCAGAAAGAAACGAGACTGTAGAATACGATAGATCCCAGGGCCCCGTTTTTAGGGAGGACTACATTAAACCGGTTGAAAGCCCCTGCCTCGATTACGTATTCGGGTTCTTCTTGCTCTACCATCGTAGGCGCTGCTCGAACCTGTGGAACAGAAACTCTCCAATACCTGGATCGTCCTTGTCTATTTCGGATCCCATCAACCGGATTTAGTCGGCACGTTTCATCGCAATGGGCAAGCCAAAACTCTGGCGGTATGTTTAGCTTGACTCCGAGCATCTCTGCCATCCGCGGATCCAAATCTTCCAGTATGATGAGCCTCCTGAAAGGCTTATTAATGTCATGCGCCTTTTCGAAATGTTCGAACAAGTCCCTGATGCTCAATTCGCCATGATTCACTCCACATTGAACCGGATGTGACCCAAAGTTCATGATATAGAACTTGGGCATATTTGGTCGAGGAGTCGTGGGATTCCATGGATGGCTGCGACCGTTCTTCAGAAAGCCCTCGGCGACGGCTTTTTCAACACGAGTCTGATACTCGGCTGTCAGGCCAATCATTTCGCGATTCCCATCCCAAAACTGCTCGCGACCTGTGTTTGATTAATAGGTACTTCGAAATAGAAATGGAGTGATGGACTGACTCAACGGCACATAGTTGTTGGGCATGATGGAGCTTGGAGGAAGAGATTCGCGAATGACTTTCCCAACTTCACTTACGCTCACGACTCACGGCAGCGGCTGGTCTTGGGACGGACTTTATATCGTGACGCATGGCACAGGCACAAGTTATGGCATCTGATGCCTGTCTTGGTGACGATTAGCGTTAGTCTCGGTGGATTCACGACGTCCTTCCTTTTCTTTACAATCAGTTCTCGCCAAAAAAAAAACACAAAGGGAATGCCAACAACCTGAAAGCTGCATGTTTTGTGAGCCAACCGGTAGCTCAAAACGATCCACGTTATTGAGCTGAAAATGCCCCTGCTCTAGTGATCGTCAGCAAGCCTCAAAGGCCGGGTTCTCGTGATGAGATTACTTGGCCGCGCAGTTCGGGATTGGAACATCGGTGGAGTCCTGACGACTGCATGTCTTTGAATTCAACCCCACCATAAGTGGTATGCGTTCTGCAAGACTTGGCCTCGCTAATTGGACTCTTACGTTGCCGCTCAGCTGGCGACGATCATGTCTATGTTCCCTGTAGCCTGGCGGATCTTGCGATACCCAGAAGGGATAGCATCCTGCAAAGATACCATCCCCGCGTGTGCGCATCTCAGCCAGTGATCCACGCAACTCTCAGGCCCTTATCAACCGACCCTACCAGTGCCCGTCTCAATTTAGGACCGCATTTCCTCAATCACAGCGCGCCCTCCATGTTAATTGGCTGAAGCGTACGATATACCCTGAAGCAAACAAAACACCAAGCAAATAGTCGATATGAATAGTCATAAATCGCCCCATCTGCAAGTCTTATCACCTCCAGCTGAGACTGCCAGTATCCTAATTGAGCCAACCCCCATCGATATTGTTAGGATGTGGGGAGAAAAGATTACAAAAGAAAACATGGCCGCAGCGGGCCGCACCCTAGCTCTCCAATACAATGCCAAACTCCACACCCTCGAGACAGCTGTAAACGGATCCATAGTCTGGATCCTCTTTCTTGGCCACCGAAAGTAAGACTGATAAGATATCGTTAGAATACTAGGCAGAAAGGTCGACTCAGAAGGCGGCCTGGGCCCATGCAAACAAACCTTTCGCCTCTCGTCACATACGGCCCGTGTACGTTTGGCAGTATAGTGCGTGCCGAGGGAGAAACACTTCACTGCCACACACATTACTGACACACCCAACAGAGTAATCTTGGGCTCTGCCCACCAACTTTCTCCTCCCAACTTACACATACCACTACGCAGTACAACATGCGATTATTTAGCTTCGTGGCAGCCGAAAGGCCTTGCTCTACCGGTGTGTACACCAACAGATGCCTTCCAAGTTGAGGTTGAGCATGTGCAGCCAGTCAGTAGAGGCGAAACGGTGTGCGTACTATGGATAATCATCCAACTGAGGTCAGAGTCCGAGGGCGTACGACTCCACGGATGCGGCTCAACCCATAACCGACCACGACTCCCTTAGCCACAGTTAGTGGAGAGGGGAATTGGGGAAATAGTAGTGGCAGGTACAGAGGCAAAAGAACGAGTCAAAGGATGCAGTTGCAAAGTCTCCCCCGACTCCGACTCGGGGCCAGAATTCAGGTACCGAGGAAAAGTATAAGTTTGGGTGTCACGGATGGGATGATTGTGCATGTAACTTCGAAGGAGATCCCGCTCGCCAAGACGGAGACATAGATGCCTTCAGACTGATGGATTTAGTACTGTCTGAAGAGGGAGCAGACGACTGTTCGTTCTTAATTTTCTGTGTTGTCTGGCTGAGATCATCCCCTTCATATGGGTGGGCGGTGCCGGGGTACCCAAGGGCAATGTGTGAGTTTAGATGCACATCTTTCAGTGATTGGTTTGATTGCTTGACCTTTGTCGGTCTGATGGAATCTCGTGGCAGGCAATATCCAATCGAGACACTGCTCTCTTGGTTGATATCACGCTCATCATCAACTAGCCACCATGCGACGTAGCCGGTCTTGCCACCAAGCTGGGACTCGCTTACACGCCGGTGCAAAGATTCACTTTCATCAGCAGACAATTTCATCTTCTATCAATACGTCTCGAAGAGAGTCAGAATGTGTTTGACAGCTTTCCTTCTCTCTCATTGCACCGAACTCTGTCGAGTCTCGGCCCCAAGGCTTGCGAACGGGTTTCACAAGCTTCAACAGAGATGTCTGGCAGAAAAGCATCCCACGAGCTCGGAACCCGCAAATCAGGTACCACCATTTCTATTCCCAGCACAAACATCAAGTGATGTCCGCCATCGGACCAATGCGGGCAAAACTATCTGCCCGCTTGCCTATCGACGTCCAAAGTTGGGTGTGAACCCCGATGAACGCAAAATAATTCTCCGAGGAAGTAAAAGCCAAGAAAAAAAACATGAAAGGATCTACAAAACCGGTCGAACGCGCGTCCACCGTGCTCTAATCATCGCACACAGGCCGTTAAAAGGCTTGATAGACCCCGGTTTGGGGTTCAGAAAGTGTAGAATACAGCTTGCTGAAGATGGTTGCTCTTTCGCGTCTTCCAGCATTCCCGCTGCCCGTTTGGCCGTCCGCCCTGGTGCTTCGGCCAACCATCCTGACCACTTGGTGCATTGGTTCCTGAGCATCCAAGTCAGGCGCGCGCGGATCAGAGGTGCGATGCTCCACTAGCTGAAATCGTGAGCATGGCAGGATCTTGTCGCAAGCAATCACTGAGAGGATTCTTATTCTTGGAACATCCCATAAGTCCTACTCGTTCGCCTCAACCCCCGAAAACCCCAAGATTAGTTTCCTGTCAAGCGTTGACGACACATCTAACTTCAGTATCTGGTATGAGACAGAGCTCGGGGTCCAGTCACAAACTCAGAAACTGGTCTCAAGTTTAACCAGTTTATCGGGTAATGTTTCCCCAAGCGACCTGTTGCTAGTCATTCTCCCGGACTTGAGTCAGCTCCACGCAGACTCGGCAGGTACCCGAAATACCTTCGTCAGAATGTGAATCTTGAGACAAACAACACCAAAAACAAGTTAAGCAAAAGTTCAACCTCCCGCGATGGAAATCGCGGGAAAAATATGGACGATCTGGGAATCGAACCCAGGACCTACCGCATGCTAAGCGGTCATTATACCACTAAACCAATCGCCCATGGCATGATCCAGCCCGGACTTGAACCGGAGACCTTCAGTGAACAGTCGAAGGTTTGTGAAACTATCGAGATGTTAGACTGACGTGATAACCAACTACACCACCAGACCATTTGATTGATGATAGGGTCGGCGAGCAAGCGCAAGATTAGGGCAGGGTTGTCGACAGGAACCTCCAGGAAGCTAGGCGGAACCCGGCAGGACGGATGCGAGTGAGTGGGTCCAGGGTCTCCGGGCGGGCTGGTCTACCGAAATTCCAGACGACCAGGTAGTTGGGACCCATGATCAATGACCTGCGTGCCCATGGGCGCCATTGCGCGGAGTAGGTCCGTTGTGATATTGCAAGAAAACATGAAGCTTTAGGGCAAGTTGACGAATTCATGCGTTGTATGCGATGTGCTGACTCGTTATGATGGCTAGGCCTCAGAAGCCAGCCAGCCAGCCAGAGTCCTGGTGCTAGATGAAGTGTGTTCTACTCGTGTGACACAATTGTGTGCTTGATCCGAGACATGAAGAGACTGCCATTGTGGATTGTTAGTACTGTTGGAGGGGTCGAGTGAAGAGACAAGTTGTGGGGTGGAGACAGCCCCAGCCCACACTTGCAATATATGGCTCAATACCACAGCTCAATCCGAAGATCGTGGCGGACATAGCTCAGTTGGGAGAGCGTCAGACTGAAGCGGATCTGATCCGGAAAACTTCAATCAATCAATCTGAAGGTCGTGTGTTCAATCCACACTGGCCGCATCTTCGCTTTTTGTTGTCGCGCGTAACTGGGGCGTTTGCTGTGATGGTGAATTTCGCCGAACACGAAAGCGGTTGCTGTCCTTTTGTCTATTTCGGTTCCGCGTCTGTGGTAAGAGTCAAAAAGCATTAATTAGGCTTTTTGCGGCTCTGTGAGAAGGGCCAAATAGCGTCTAGCTAGCCGGCCAGTGCAACGTCATACGAACGAGGTAGATGATGGTTGGTGGTCAGTGAGATGGTGTGTACATTGTCTTCGGGAGTTGACACTGAATGAAGTCTGGCTATTCATAGAACCGGCTGAAGGAATGATTGCTTCTGGGCCCGAAAAGCGCTCTACATTTAGACCAGATCGTGATCGTAAATGCCCGCCCTCTGTGCGTCTGTCCACTAGTTACCGTCTTTCGATCTCGTGGCCTGGTATTCGATACAAGGTGCGTCATAAAGAATCAAATGCTCCTAGGTCATGGCCAGCGCAGGCTCGTCCGGTCGAGTCGCTCGACAATTGGGATCGGGTTCAGATGGGTGGAAGTTCAGTCGTTCGGTTGGATTTCCACTTGTGGAAAGGCTCATCGCTTGCCGCGTATGCCAGACAAAATGGGCGTCCCCAACCGGTCCGGTCAGTGCGAAGATTGGAGCGCGTAACAAACATCAGCCGGATTTCGCGCGTGGTAACGCCAGAACTGGACAACAATGCCCATCAGCGGCGGCTTTGGACCATATGACGAGGCTGTTAAGCGGATCGATAGTGCCCGGGCCGCATTGTTCTCAGGTTTGCGAGATGTGTTTCTAGTCGCCACCATCGTGAGCAATGGAAAAACACGATGCTGAGCACACGCAGTCCTCCTCGGTGCCGTCGGCTCCGTCTCCGCATTTTCCAAATGCTTCGCATTATACCAGACTTTCGAGGTGTGCTGGCCGGCTGCCGTCTTGGCAGAGAAACGCCGTTCAGGCGAATCCAAGGAAACTTCTGTCATGGGTGGTGGATAGAGGACGGGTTTCTGTAGAGCTAGCTACCATGCCGTCTCGAATACCAAACATGGAGCCAGCGCATCGACGTACCCGAGGCGGGGCAGGAAATCCCATGGGCAGGAAGACGAGAGCCACGCCGACTGGGTATAGGCTGAGAGAAAATCATGTTCTCCCAGGGCTGACCGTGGCTCAAGGGCGAGTTAGTTGTAAGTTTATCGTCTTCTTCCTTGCCTGTTATACATGGCTGCGTGTCGGACGCGCTCAGAGTTGCGGGAAGGCACGTCGTTGGTGTGGTAGCTTTCCCATGCAGATCCCCCTCTCGATTCCTTCGTCATGCTAGTCCCGGAGTTAGAGGGGCCACACATCGCACGCGCGGCCACCAGCAGGCCTCGCCTGCTCCCCAAGTCCGGTAGCAGATTTGCAGGCGATCTTTGTGCACTGCCTTCCCGGCGGCAGTGAACGGCCGCTACTGGGCATGCATGGATGGAACCGGCCGGAGACGATGACAGGCAGGCAAACAGCTAAGCATTGCGGGCTGTCGGTAAATCTTGCCCTAGCTGAGGATGAACCCTGTGCCTATTCTTGGACATCATTCTTGGCAGGCCATGCGTTTCTTAATGGCGGCGCAAACATTGTGTGTGCTGACAATGAGCATTGACTTTGGTCTGGTTGTCGGATGCAGAAAGAGGCCGTGATGATATCAGTTGCACGGAGAAATCAGCGAGCAGGTTTGATGCATTGCAGGGAATGGAAATGGGGTGTGTGTCGAAAAATGACGAATGCCCCAGACGGAGATGGCGACGCCCATGACCATGGCGTCCTCAAGAGACACCCAGCGGCAGGATCCGAGACAAGGCTGTTGTGTTGGTGGTGGGATGCCTGGGTGCCGTCACAACGGTTGTTTGGTGGTGTTGAAAGCGGCTCAAATGGGTTCGTAAACGTCGTATAAGGTATATAGTAACTTCAGTAAGAGGAAAGTTGGTGAAGGAGGGCCTGTCTGGCTCTTAACGCGGGCGGCTTTAGAGTTTAGGCTTGGCTCGTAGGAGATCTATAGGTTGATTGCGATATCGAATCTCGGATTTGCCAGACACGTTGCATTGGGGTGAGGGGGGGCGCGGGATCAGGGAGATCCAAGAGTGAGGGAAAGGGGACGACGCAGCAGCGAAGAAGCTTACTGCAAAGCTAAAGATACGGCGCTTCGAGAAGGAGAGGGCGACAGGGCCTGACTCTGGTCGTTTGGCTGCTGTGGTCGTCGTGTCTGGGTGGGTTGAAGTTAGAAGTTGGTCGGAGATGGGATGAATGTGGAGGAATTGCGCTACACTAACAATTTCTGGCGCGTCTCGGCCAGTAAGCGAGCCGAGAGGAACCCCTGCATCCGTGCCAGAGTAGGCAAGTACTTGATGGGTGTTCCTGCAAGTATTCCGTCCGTGCAGGATTATGTGCAAGATACTTGGTGATACTCTTAGAAATGGTGAATAAAGTAGAGTAGGAGGTGTCCCCTGCTAAAGGGGAAGGATTACCTAAGACGCTTGTCTCACTCTATTCTTCAGTCTTCAGGGCAGGCGCGGAGCAATCGAGATTCAAGCTTCCATTGATTGATTGTACTTGCCTGATTGTAATAGGTTGTCACTTAAGGTACATAGTGAACACGGATCAAGGTAAGGTACCTAGGTATAACCAACGCTTTGGCATGTGCCGGTCGCATCCTCTCTTCCTCATCAAGTTCATCAAGTTCTTGAACCAGTGTCACCGCTAGATTCCCGGATTGCCCATCCCGGGTACTAGATCAAGTGATCTATCCAACGCAGGGACGCCAGCACGACAGACGACTATGGAAATCCAAACATCCGTCACTCGGGCAGGCTCCAATACAGGCTCCAGCCCATCAGCGGCAAATGTTTGGGGCTCTTCTTTGAGGCACGGGTGTGGCAGCAAGCTAAAATCCGGAGGTGGCAGCTCCCGAACGACTCCTGTTGACCATCCATGTTTCAGATGCGCCTGGCAAGTCCGCGAAACCGCCCTCGAGTCCTCGACGCCCAAGGAAGCAGAAGTCGATCACGTCCCAGTCGGTCCAAACTCCCAAACCCTCCGAATTTCACTCGTGCCCGGCCCAGGCGCCAGGTCAAGCTTACCCGTCCTCGACTTTGAAATCTCCCTTTCTGGCCTTGACTGGGTCTCCAGTCAGACTCGAGGTCGGGGTTGGCTTGTCACCTTGTGTTGTGTCTTGCCCTGGTGCCGGGAGGCAAGCAGGAAGCCCTGCTTTGCCTGTGTTGCATCTCGTCTATGTTTCTGGTGTGTGCACCTGCGCCTGTGCCTGCGCGCGCGCGCCGCTACGATGCGTGGCTAGCATCGTTTTCCGATTTCACTCCTCTCTTTTTCTTTCCATTTGTTTTCTTTTCCTTCTTTTCGCTCTTATTTACACTCACTACTTCCTCCAACCCGTTTTCGTGCCCTGTTTCCTGCTCTGTTTCCTCTCTGGACTTTTGGGGCTTTGTAGGAGAAACATTCGAGAGTCGACAAAGCAACTACACGCTGGACGACGGTTGAACGACAGGGAAGCAGACAACGGGACGCGGTCTCAGCAACTCGGCTTTGGGTCAACATTCATCACTAGGAGCACTCGTCACTTGTTCTTGTTAATTCCGAATACTCGAGCTATCATTGGATCATCGACATCGCATTAGGTCCGGCTGGCAATCTATTCATCTAATGGCCAATGTCTTGAAGACATACCCAAGTCGTCACACTTCCCTCTCCACCTCGGGAAGTCTCTTAACACAGACGACTTCTACTTGTTCATAATACCGACTCGATTTGATTTCGGGGCTTCGCGTTGTCCTGTCGTTGGCGCTGGATCGATACCCTTTAGACTTGTTTTGAGGAACAGTCCTCCATCTACTTTCTTTTCGAGCCACATACGACGCCCACAAGCGCCGATATAACACACCTCATGAACCAGACAGCGACCATGTCGTCCATGCCAATGGAACTCAACCTGCCCCGGGTGGTGCCCGGTGGCCAGCACATCAGTTATTACGTTGCCATCAGCGCGATGCTAGTGGTAGCCTGGCTCTTCCAGTCGCGAAGGCCAAAATTTCCCGACATGCCCTTCTACAAGGCCGCCAAGACGAAGTGGATGTTTGACGCCGAGACGTTGATTCGCGACAGCTATGGCAAGGTATGATGCGTAAGAAGTCCATATCGTTCAATTGCTGACACCAATTCAGTTCCGCGACACTGTATATCAGATTAAAGCGACAGAAGGTCTGCAGGTTCTTGTACCTGCAAGACTCATTGGCGAGTTGAGAAGCTTGCCAGAAGAGGTGTTGAGCGCCACAGAGGCCGTCGACGAGGCCATGTTGAGCAGATATACCAACTTCACCCTCGGCAACCACGCCGACCTACTGTCTACACTTGTGCGGTGCAAGCTGTCGCAGAACTTGGCCAGGCTTGTGCCCCAGCTCAAGAGTGAGCTCGAGTACGTTGTCGCCACTGAGTTTCCGAATTGCAAGGGTAAGTCCGTCAGTCAGATTTTCTGCCTCGCCCAACTGACACGTCCCAGAATGGACACCAGTAAAGTTCCAACCCTTCGCGCTACGAGCCATTGCACGGATCAGTGGTCGGGCATTCGTAGGCCCCGATGTCAACCGACAAGAGCAGTGGATGGATATCAGCATCAACTTTGCCATCCACGTCTTCGTCGCTGTCGTGAAGATGCAGCTCTTCCCGGAGTGGGCCCGACCGATTGCGCAGTATGGAGTTTCGGAGTTGCGGCAGATTCGCAAAGACGTTGACAAGGCTACCGCCATGCTGAAGCCCATCATCGATGAAAGATTAAGGGACCTGGAGATGCCTAGCTTTGAAAAGTCTCCCGACGACTTGATTCAGTGGCTTGTCGAAGCCCTCCCAGAGGATGAGAAGAGAGACGTCAGGTCCCAGGCGCACCTCCAGCTCATCCTCGCAGCTGCGTCGATCCACACCACGAACAACCTGGTGACGGATTGCATCTACGACCTAGCAGCACACCCAGAGGTGCAGGACATGCTGCGCGAAGAAGCTCATCAAGTTCTTGAAGTGGAAGATGGCTGGGCGAGGAAGGAGAGCATGGCGAAGCTGAAGAAGCTCGACAGCTTCATGAAGGAGACCCAGCGGCTCGCCGGTAATATTAGTATGTTCCTCAGCAGGCCCACCAAGCTTTCACTCTCAGGGTAACACCACTAACACGTAACAGCCTCTTTCATCCGAAAGGTCGTCAAGCCCATTGACCTGTCCGACGGCACTCACCTGCCGCCCGGCACAAAGCTCCTGGCTCCGCAGGCCGGCATCTCGCACGACGAGAGATACTTTGAGAATCCAGATACCTTTGACGCGCTGCGCTTCTTCAAATTACGACAGAAGTCCGACGAGGACGCAAACAGGTGGCAGTTCACCAGCATTAGCGATACCAACATGAACTTCGGCGCCGGGAAGCACGCCTGCCCGGGCCGCTTCTTTGCCGGGAACGAGATCAAGATGGTGCTTGCGTACTTTTTGCTCAACTACGACATGAAGCTCAAGGACGGAGAGACGAGGCCGAAGCCGATGGTAATGGTGATGAGCAAGTCGCCTGACCCGAATGCCGAGGTCCTGTTCCGGAGGCGAACGGCTGCGGCGTGAGGCCCAACGTCATGTATGGGTGCCGAGTTGTATTTTACACCTAAAAAAGCATTAAAACCATATTCATCATGAAGCCGGTGGTCAAAAACAGCCACCCGCAAAACCAGCAATGAACAGATTACCCCCGTGGAAGCAGACGCGGGTTATAACGCATACATACACATTTATCAAAACCTTACCGGCGTCGGGGCCTGGAGCTCCAGAGGAGTCCTGGATAGGCTTTTAATTGGAGGCTTGCTTTGCCGCCCTGTGGAGGAGATACCAAACCAAACATATGTATATTAGCTACAAAAAAAGACACATAACTATCATCAACGATCATTGCTCTGGGCGGAAAGAAAACAAGGCGGGTGGACATGGAC